GTACTCTGTATACTCCGTACAGATTCTCAGTCTCGCACTTAGCCAATTCAAGAGTAACCAGTCAATTTGATCGGACTCCACTAAGAAAATCAACTCCAAGATCCAGCGGGCCTATCCCGGCCGATCAGCGTCTTGCGTTTCTGCCTGTCACACAGACCAGGATCCTATGGGAATTTCTCTTTGGTTTGTGCCGTTTCTAGTTATCATTGGGAAATGGTAGTTAATTGGAAGGGAATCATTTGCCTCTCTTGACGCTTAACTCTGCTGATCCGGATAGTCCTTACTTGGTGGCGTACAAAATACATGTAATATAATAATCCCTAAAAAAATAAAAAGGGAGATAATATAATAGAAAAGAAAAAGGGTAAAAAAAGGAAAAAGAAAAGAAAAGAAAAAAAAAAACAGGAGATATCGAGTCTAGAGGATGATCTGAACGCACGGTTCTGGTAGTCACTCTCTCCGGGTCCACTGTGATTGATTCGACTTTCCCTATTATTTTTCCCTTCCCCTTCGTTTCTCCCTCAAAAGACGGGGCAAGCCGGGCTTTCTGCAGACATTCTTCTCTCTCTCTTCTGTCCAACTTAGTCAGCTCATCCACTGATCGACTTTCCCGCTGCGGCTCAGCGTCATTTCGCTTCTATTTTTCCCCTCTCTTAACCGCTGAGTTTCACTGTACGATTCCCTGTTTTATTTTAAGCTCCCTTTTTCTCCTTTTCCTTCTGGTTTTTTTTTTATGTGTTTTGGTTTTCTTTTTTCAAACGCCATCTAGTGCATAGGGATGCGTTTGCTGCACCACCCCAGCCTCCACCTTTCTGTACGTCCCAACGCACTGCTTCCCCCAATCCCTCGACTGGTCTGAGACTTTGATCTTTCTGTCCCCCTTCATCTGGCTTTGCCCTTATTTGATCATTCAATGCGCTCCAATTTGAGAATTTCTTCTATATGATTACTGCATGACTTTCAAACGATCAAAACTTACGAAATTTCTATTTAGTCCTGCTGAAGCGACCCGCACTTTGATGTGTTCGATTGACGATTCTTAATGATTCTGATGACAATTGTGCTTCTTTGAAATCGTCTACTTTCCCCCTAAAGTCTGGATTGCGCTTCTGTCTGGACTATATAAGTCTTTACAAAAGGTTTACGACTTACTACGAAGCTTCACTACGATATTGCACGCCCCTGCATCGCCTGCATTTTGCATCAACTGTCATATTCTTGTTTTTTTTGGCCTTGAACGTTTGATGCTGAAAGCCCATTGGCATACTTCGTTTGCGAATTCTTTCTCTTTTTTTACCCACTGTGCAACCTGCAACGTTCGCAAGTTTCTGTGGACTTCCAATTCTGCAGCCTATATTGATAGCCCGCCGGACGATATTTCCAACGTCCGCCAGCTTTAAACTCTCTATTCTAAACCGTTTATCCGTGCAACCGAAAAGCTGGAGCTGCCATCGATCTCGCAGGTCCATACCCGCGGTCCTGCTGACACCCACTGGTACAACCATCACGCAGCGGAACGACCGTTATTGCCCGGCGACAAACTCCCCGCTTTGAGCCTGCCGACAGCCCAGGGGCTCTCCAGGACGGCCTATCACGATCCGTCCCTGACCAATTCCACCAATTCCAGCGCTCGCACAAGTTTGTCTGGTGCCTCCGTGCCAATCAACGAACCTAGGAGCCCCCCGTCCTCTGCGGACCTGTCTGGGAGCCAGGGCCGGCTTTCATTAGATTCTTCCGCGACTGAATACAGTCTCCCGCCTTCGGTCAACGAAGGGTATTATCCTAGCCCGACTTCGCTCGGCAGCATGAACCAGGCCCAGCCGTATATGGATGTCCACTCGCACATGTCTTCTGCTCAATCATACGCTCCTCAAGGCGCAACCGCAGGCGCCATGTCCCACTATCAGTACCACGGGCAACCCCCCGTGATGCAGCCCGCATCTTCTTACGCCCCGGCTGCTTACCCCCAATATGGATACGCCAATGGCGTTACTTCACCCCCAACTGGACACCCACCCAGCTCCATGGGTCAGATGCCGGCTCAGTTGCTGCCCTTGCCTGGTAAGCTCCAAAGCCAGAGTGTTGATGATTATTCTGATCGTTATCAAGTGAGCAATCACGCCGTGGCACCTCCAAGTGGCTATGGTAACAACACTGGTGCTCCGCTACAAGGGTTCGTCTTTGACGGTACCGGTCAGGTTGCTCCTCCAGGGGCCAAGCCCCGAGTGACAGCCACATTATGGGAAGATGAGGGCAGTCTCTGCTACCAGGTGGAAGCAAAGGGAGTATGTGTAGCTCGACGAGAAGGTAAATTGAGTGTTCGGCAATGTGTCACTTGGAAAGATCTTTGACTGATTATCTTGCAGACAACCACATGATCAACGGTACGAAGCTGCTGAATGTAGCTGGCATGACTCGTGGTCGACGTGATGGTATTCTCAAAAGCGAAAAGCTTCGCCACGTTGTGAAAATTGGACCGATGCATTTGAAAGGTGTTTGGTATGTTTCTTGCACTTGTCACGACCTAGTACACCCGTCAATTGCTAATCCTCAACTTTTCAGGATCCCATTTGAGCGGGCTCTGGAATTCGCCAACAAGGAGAAGATCACCGATCTCTTATATCCACTCTTTGTGCACAATATCGGTGGTCTTCTATACCACCCCGCAAACCAGACTCGGACAAACATGGTGGTGCAAGAGTCCCAGCAGCGACGGTTAGAAGGCCCTCCCCCGGGTCCACATCGCACGCCGTCTGGCTCCCAACAGCCCCCAATTCACCATCAGCAGCCCTCGATGCAGCAGGCGCCCATGTCCTCTCACATGTCTCAAGGCCCAATGAGCAATCAGCCTGGCCCAAGACCTGGCCTCGAGCGTGCCAACACTTTCCCCACACCGCCAGCCAGCGCATCTGGCCTAATGGGTGTCACCAACCAGAACGGTTCATACGAATGGGGCGGACAAGTGCCGCAAACACAGCCCCTATCCATCGACACCACACTGAGCAACCAGCGCTCAATGCCAACTACCCCGGCAACCACCCCACCAGGGAACAACATGCACGGCTTGCCAGCCTATCAAAGCCAAGCCTACGACAGCACCAAGCCCTACTATTCCGCGGCACCACAATCACACCCCCAATACGCGCCGCACACTCCACTGACCCAATCAGGGATGTCCAGCTACGGCCAATCCCTGTCCGGCGGATACATGAAAAGCGAAATGGCGCCACCAAACCCACGCCCCGGCGTTTCAGAGCCTGAAACCTCCGAGCGCGACTCAAACCGCTACAGCCAGAGCAATGGGCCCAGCGAGCCCGTTCCTGAACATGATCAGGAGTACATGCAAGACCACAACGCCGGATACAACTCCAATCGCGGCTCCTACACTTACACTACCAATCCCTCCGTCAGCTCCCTCACCGGCGAGCACTCCCAGCTCACCCCGGAGATGACAAGCTCCCCGAGCCAGCAAAACGGCTCCGGTCGCATGACCCCGCGCACGGGCGCTGGTCCCCCTCCTCACTGGGCTTCGGGGTATAACACCCCTCCCCGTCCCGCTGCAGCCACTACCCTGTACAACGCCGTCAGTGACACGCGCGGCACCCCTGCCAACGGTGCTTCTGACCCTTACTCCATGGCCTCGACCACGGCTCCGGTCTACGCGACTGGGAATGGCTCGCTGAGTGCGGGCAGCAAGCGCATGCGCGAGGACGAGGATATTCGTCCCGAGAGTAATGCGGACTACGAGACCTCGAAGCGTCGCAAGACTATCACCGATTCTACCATTGGTGGTCCGGTAGGTGGCCCGCCTATTCTTCAGCCAATGAAGCCGAGCGCTGTCATGGCTCGCCATCGATGAGTGGGATTTCATCGTGGTCATTGGCTAACTTGTCGGGATTTTGTTCTGTTCGGGTCTTGTTCGGTTTTTGCAGGATTCCCTCTTTTTTCTCTGTTGGTCTGTTTCTCGGTCGGAGTTTGTTTATCATGATAGACTGCGCATGCAAAACCCGCATGGCGCGTCGCGGTCCTGTCTGCGTCTTACCACGACCACGTGGGAGATTGCCAGTCCCGGCGGTGTCTAAACGCAACGAAGCTCATTTGTCTCTTGTCTGCGTTTGTTTATGTTTCCAGGTCCAAGAAATCTATGAATATCTAACCTGTGTGGGGAGGGAGAAATAACTAGGCGCAAGATCCGTTCACGGTCCAACATCAGAAAAGCATCTCTTGATACTTCCATGTGGAAAGAATTGTCTGTTGTTGTCAAGACTTGGACGGTGATTGCAAACCTCGATGACTATGATGTGACGAATCCCTTATGAACGAATTTTCTTTGTGTGATGACTTGAACACGAGCCATCTTCATTAACGAGTTGTTTTTTTTTTTTTTCTTCTCCATCCCTCTTCTCTTTTTGTCGTTGATGTTTTATCATTTATGCGCGTTCTGGGTTTTGAAAAGGATATTCTTTGTCGCATGGCCTCGGCTTTGGTTTTACTTCCCTCTCTCTACTTCTCTGCGATGCTTTTGCTTCTGCTTTTGCCCCTGCCACTCTACTAGAGAGATGATTATCATGGTAATGAACGGTTATGAAGTCTGGGTTTGCATGCCTTTAGCGACATACAACGTTGGTTTTGGGCCGGTCTAAATGGATTGTTCTTTTCCCAACTTTTGATCCTTTCCTGTAGATGTAACTTATTGAGCTTGTCTCATGTTAATTTCGTGCTGTGAATCCCCTAATGCAATATTAAATCAAGCCCGTCAATTCTATGAGCGCTTCATCCAACTTTTTACTGACGTACTTTCTTCCACGTGATCTAATCTACCCTATCTCGACCAAAACAGCAAAATCAAAACAAGCTCGATCCATGGTTCTTTCCGCTCCACGCCACGGCGACTTCTCGTCAATTTCAACCTCAACACATCCATCTCCCCAAACACATCATCCTGTCCAACCTGATATTCAAATAGCGAATGGGAAACCCCGCTTCAAAAACCAACAATCATGACCGTCGACCGCCTCAAACCATCCGAAAAATCACAACCTCCAGAACCGCAAAACCACCGCCATTTCGACCCCTGGCAGTCAGCCTCAACTGGTCACCAGCGCGCAGCCGAAGGCGGTGGTTTCCTCGGCTCAACATCATGGCGAGATGCGCGGTCAGCGAAACTGACCAGGCAATATCAGAGTGGGGATTGTCTTCCAGGACGGGAAGGAGTATTTGGCGGAGTGCGGAATACAGCAACACGAGAGTCGACTCTCGTACCTGGCGCGTTTGACGGGAAATGCGCGCAGTCGCCGCCTAATGTACCCTCTTCCGGTGAATGGGCTCTAGTTGCTGGAGATGTGGCTAAACGGAATGAACTCGGCGTTCAGGATATCCGGTCGTTTATGGGTATTAGCAAAAGGAAGGCCCCGGATGAGCTCGAAAAAGATACAAAGGTGGAGACGAAGAAGATAAGAACTGTTGTTGAAGAAAACCGAAACCTCGGTCCAGCTCTAAATTCGAAGAAAAAAGAAATGGAAAAGGAAAAGCCTCAAATAGAAGACGAACCTCAGCCCGAATCTCGCCCTGGCGCAATTCACGATCTGAAATCGACTTCGCATATCTTCGCCGGTGTTACGATCTTCATCAATGGCTCCACTCTCCCCCAGATCTCGGAGTATAAGCTGAAACACCTTCTCGCGTCGAACGGGGCAAAGACTTCTATCTACATGGCCCGGAAGACGGTGACGCATGTTCTCATCGGAAAACCAAATACCGGGGCTGGGAGTGGAGCAGCTGTGTCTGGTGCCGGAGGAGGCCTTGCTGCGGGTAAGCTCCAGCAGGAAATTGCCCGTGGGGGGTGGAAAGGTCTGAAAGTTGTTAGTGTGGACTGGTATGTGCGGTCGTGATGTTGTTGGATGGCCGGCGAGTGATCCTTTCTGACATTAAACTTGATAACACTAGGGCTCTCGAAAGTATCAAAGCTGGACGCCGTCTTGCGGAGTCCCGATTCCCCGGTATGAACGTTGCGGCTAAGGGGCAACGGAGTGTTGCTGGAATGTTTGGTGTGCATCAGCTGAAGAAGTGAGCTCCTTTTTTACACGAATATGGCTGACATTTAGCGATTGGTTTCTTTCGTTTGCGTTGCATTGCATAAGGCATCTTGCCATGGATGGCGTTCTGGATGGAGTCAAGGTTCTCCGTCAATATTTTGGGCTGGGATGATGAACCTTCCAACTATGTACACTTATGATACCCCGATCTGATCGATCACATCAAATCAATCGAATCTATCCTGACCGTTCTGGCCATGGAATCTCTACTGGGAGTTCCATCATTCCACTGACTAATACACTAATTTGTATCGTTGCCGATAGAACTGTGATGAATGTGGACTTCCAATATTCTACTTTCGACTTGACACTCATACCTGAGCTTCTCATTTCATTAATCAATCATGCACCATTATCATGTCATCCATTATATACAGAATCAAAATCAAAATGAACACCTCAATCATATCATGTACAGATCGGCGATAAAACGGGGTTCGACCACAGAACACAAAATCATCAGAAAAAAACAACAGAAAAGAAAAGAGATATCGACAAAATCTTCAAAAAAAAAAAAAACGCCATAGCCATGCAACATACAACGTGAGAAGGAAATCATGATAGATGTGTCATAAATCAAAATCCCAAGGTGACTGACTATATAAGCCAGATAGATCGTGAACCTTGCTGACATTCACTTGAAGGAACCTCCCCTACCTCCGCGCGCGGCATATGTCTCGCCATCATGGCTGCTGTTGTCAGACATATGCCGACGCCAGCCGCTCTGTCGACGAGCCGGGTAGGCAGGCGGGTGATCATTGTAGCCGTCTGTCTCGCCAGAGACAGTCGTTACCATATCAGACTCTGAAGAGACTGACCTCAGCCCCGATGCATTGGTTGCAGTGGGTATGAGGTCAAGTGTGGTGGTGGGCGTGATATCAGGGAGTGGTGGGAGGGGGTTTGGATGGCGATGAGTAGAGAAGGAGGATTGGGCGGGAGGCGGGGCGCGGGAAGAGGGATTAACAGAAGAGGTCGTCCGTGTGCGAGTTCTGCTGCCGCTGCCCCTCGAGGAAGGGTGCTGGTTCCAGCCCTCTTCTTCGTGGGAGATGGGTTCTGGGGATGAGGTCGCTTGTCGGTTGTGCGGAAGGTAGTAGGGATTGTGCGACTCAGAGTGGCTGTGGTGATTATCCTCATATGCAGGGAATGCGGCGGTGGACATGCTGGACACGGAGTCGCCATGTGGCCGGCCTGCGAACATGGGCTGGGGCTGGCCAAGTTCTGACTCAGCGCTCGACCAGCGTTCTAGCTTTTCATTCAGGAGTTCTTCTTCTGGTCGTGAATGGCGTGAATCACCGTGAACGAGGCCGAGAGATTCTTCCTCGGTTGCGGACTTGCGCAGATCGGCTTCTAGGTGCGTTCGGCGTAAGATGCCACGAGGCGGCGAACCTGGTGTGTGTCTGACGGGAGATTCACTGCCAGCCTTCCCACGACCCATCATGTTGTTAAAAGAGAACTGGCGGCGGGTAGTGTTGGCAAGAGGCTCGGGTGCCAAATTTTCGGGCTTTTCGTCCGCCCATGATATAGACCGTGGCGTATCGCTACGCGGACGGTTCGGATTGAACGGAGCCTCCAATTCTCCAGTCATACCGGCACCATGGTATTCAGTGTCAGCATTGCCACTGTGGTGTGGCATGTCTGTCATGCCCATCGATTGTGTGTTGGCGTTTACATTTTTGTCCTCTTCTGTATTTACAGCCTTCCACTGGGAAGGATGAAGCATACTGGTTGCCCGAGATCGAATATTATCCATGAAAGAATGGCCGCTTTGCTTGGTGTCAGGTCGGTGGTCCTCCTCAGGCCCAACGGCAGGCATCCGGGACATGCCCCACGGAGGATGTTGTTGTTTGACCGAGGGTGTTCGCGGAGTGATTGGCCGTGACATAGTTGGTCCCTCACCAATGACAGTCCTGCGCCGGCGCAGGCCATCCCATTCAATGATTTCATTTTCGCCTGGCACTTTGAGAGTATCTTCATGTCTGTCATGGAAGAAACGGCGAGCTTCATCTGATTCCATAGTGCGGCGAGCAGTCGAGATGCGACGGATGATAGAGGCTGCACCGCGAATGGAGTCTGCCTTGGGCTCAGACTCAGGCTCTTCTACCGCCGCAACCTCACGAATCTGATCCAGGTCGCCCTTGAAGATAGCAGCATCGGGGACGTCCTTGGCGGACTTAGATAGCTGCAGCAATACCACACCGGCACAGATTTGTAGGAACCCAATGATCACAGTTGCAATCTGAATTCCTGTGCCTTTGAAGCCCTTGAACAAAATGGCGGAAGTGATAATGGTGGCACTAGTGAACATCACGTAGTAAGTCGGGGTGACCAAAGCGGCATTGAAAAGGTTCAGCGCTTTCTGTATAGCAACGTTAGCACAGGTATGGCACACTAGGAGAGTGAAGACGTACATTGAGGTAAATAATCTCAGTCAGCAGTGTTCCAATCACAAACACAAACAAAACATAGAGGAACCAATGCTTGAATTGCTCCTCGCCATTAATCTGAGCGAGAATCGCAGACCCCAAGCCCTGTGTAGCCACAACACTCAGTCCACCAACCATGCTGCAAATGCTGATATAAACAAACATGCTCGACTTCCCATAGCGCGGACCAACCCAAAGAGCTGTAAAAGCAGCTCCAACAATGATCAGCCCGGCATAGACTAGAAATCCAGGCTGAAGAACAAAATGCTGCATGCCCTGGATATCCTTGACAGACGACTGCTCAGGCGCATTCATAGCAATAGTCACCGATCCAATAATACAACAGAAACAGCCAACCTTCCCCACGAAGCTAAGCCGTTCCTTGAGGAAAATCGCCGATAGAATTGTCGTAATCACAACCGAGAGCGCACCAAGCGGCGTGACCAAAATCGCATCGACGAACGCATACGCCACAAAATTACAGATCTCTCCAACAATCATCAGTGTCATGCCAGTCCACCACCAGAAATTCTTCAGATATCCATATCCCTCGCCGGCCTCCTCATTGTACTTCACATTCGCCTTCAACAGTCCGATTTTCTTGACCACAAAGGAGATCCCGATGAAGACACCCGATGCGACAGCCAACGAAATACCGACAGCCTTGTATACCGGCGGGCGGCCTGAGGTCTCAGCGCGCGCGAGGAGGTTGTTTGCATGCGATAAAACGAAATTGGGATCCATGATGAAGGTTGAAAAACCACACTGACCAGCAGTGGGAACAGACGAAGAGTTGTGGGGTCAAAGAGTCGTCCGAAGACGAGACTCGACTATTTGAAACACTTATCTTGACCCTGCCACGATATCGATAAAGACTGGGCGTATCGCCGGGGCAACGATCAATAGTAAAGGCTTCAACAACAGCACAGCGGGGGCTCGAGTCGCAACAACGGGGAATTATGATTTGGAATACAATCTGAGGGAATGCTTCTGGAAAATGTCCACGAGGAAATGAAAAGGAAAACGGTGGGATTTCCTGCAAGGGGGCGTCAGCCGTTAGACGCTCTGACTTTTCGCCACTCAAATATCGGAAGGTATTAAGAAGAATGAACTCCGTACGAAATACTTCAAATATAAATCAGGAAGAATAGCCAGAAGCAAAAGCAAAAATCCAGGAAAGGGGAAGGGGAAGGAGAGCAAAACAAAAGAGGCTGGGTGTGTGGGGAAAGGAGGTACTGCTACTTCTGGCCAGGGCGGGCTGGATCACGATCGACAGGTACCGGTACCTTTTGGCATCGGCTTATATGGCTTAATTTATGGAGAGTGTACATCGTAGAAAGATCAACAGGCTATTTACTCTCTGGATGTATAACCCCCTTTTTATGGCTTAGAATTGTACGGAATATTTCCACATTTGAAGTCTCATAAATGTCATCATTCATTAGGCCCAAAGTCACTGGCTTTAGGTCAACTAAGATAAACCCATAAACAGGCATGCGCCTGAGACGCCTTATCAACCCTAATCAACCGTCTCAGCAGAGGGGTATTCAGCAAGAAAGACACAAAAACAATATAATGCACAGCGTAAAGACAGAAAAAAAACATCAAGTCTCGAGCTGAAACGTGGGAAGTCATCCCCGCACGTGGTAGCTAGGCTTCCGTTGCCGGTTCACTGTTGGTGGTGGCTCATCAACTGGGTAAGGAGGCCGGACTTTGGTGTTCGAGTTAGAAGGTGCCTGGGAGAAGAGCGGGGCAGGCATGGCCACGCCACCGTCATCTTGAGCTGGGTATGGGATGGGCGTCTTGGGTGGCACCGGTGGCGCCATGCCATTGATTGTAAAATACTCATCACTGCGAGAGGGTGAACTCTGTTGTTGCGAGCTTGGGCGGCTTCCAAGCTCGTGGCTTCGACGATAATCACTGCCAGAATGCCGGGGTGGGGAGGTAGAGGTGCTATCTTGAGGTGTTGGGTGAGCCGGAAGCGTGTCATCTGGTGGTGATGTAGTCACCACGGTTGGAATGGATGGTGGCGCTTGTGAATGTGGATGGTGATGTGCGAAGTCAACAAACTCAGCAGGTAATTCCGCAGGTAGTTCGACAGCGGAGTGCGAAGGGGGTGGAACGTGTGATTGTGATTGAACGGAAGGAAGCGAAAGCTCTTCATTCTCAAGATCAAAAGATAGGTCATCACGATCGCCACCAGCTGCGGCATGGGTCGCTAGACGGCGGTTCATGCGCTCGATCTTAGCAAATCTGACACCTGCTTCAAGAATCATCTTCTTGACCTCAGGTCTGGCCAGATACTGTCGTGTGTTGGTACTGATATCGGCTAGCCGGTTCCATTCGTTCATGCCAAACTCGCCAACTCCGACTTCAACGTTAAGGCGGAAATAATTGTCTTTACTGACATTGCGTTTGGCAAGACGGTCTCGAAGCATCTCGTTATGGATATCCTCGCAGCCCTCGATCTTCGTCATCAGTCGACGCCGCGCTTCAGCGAATGTGCCGAATGAGTCGCCGAAGAAATCCTCCCACCATTCATGCTGTCGGTTGTTAGTACCAGCGGGGCGCTTTCCAGTTCCCACACTGATAAAGACCCCGACTTCCCGACCTGGCCACTCATTCACAATAGCCTCATCAAGGATTAGCGGCGCGGGGTTGAATGTCCCATGGCCCTCATCAATAAAATAGTGTTGACCAATCTGGATAGGTTTGAAAGCAAGCCCTGTCGCAGATGTCGCACGTCCTGCTTGCCAGATAGTGCAGTCGAATTCGGGTGGAGGTTCTCGGCGGGAGTCGTAGGACCGTAGAAGGACAGCCGATCCTTTGCGCGGGGTGCCCTTGTACATCGCAGTGACCGCACTATATTTCACATCAGTACTAGCGACTCATATTTTTGCAATGTAGAACTCACGTTTTCGTCCGATTCTCTCGATTATCATAAAGAAGAGCATCCGGATTACCCCAACGTAAACCGTTAAGAAATACGGAGCCTCTCTGGCTTGTCGGAGACATTGGATGCGAAGCAGCAGCGGTGCTGAAACTGCCCCGACTTATCGAGCGTTGCGGAATAGAGGCTGGGCTATACGGCAAGCTGGCCATGGAAGCCATAGAGTCACGATTGGGGGCATTTCCCGTGTCATTTCCCTCCGCCTCGAACACTGTATGTTCCCGCACACATTCCCGGATCGCCTCCTCAAGTTTCGAGGCCTTGAACAAAGTCGAGCGGTAGGGAATACCAGCAATGGTCTTGTCGGTCTCAAATACTTTGCGAGTCATGCGCACATAAACTTCTTTGCAAGTCTCGAGATCTAGGCGGAGGCGACCGAGCATCAGGGCGATCAAGCCGCCAGTGCCGGTACCGGCGATCAAGTCGAAGTGATCGCAAGGTTTGGGAATCTGGTCGCGACGCGGAGGTTTGCCTTCACATTCAACATAGGTGCGGTACATGAGTTCCTGGAGGAGAATAAGCATGGAGTATCCGCGAACACCACCGCCATCTGTTCAGGTCAGCTGAGTCTGATATAGGTCGAGAAGAGAGATGATACTAACCTAGAGACAGAATGCGTAGGGGAGGACCTTTGGTAGTATCCTTGCGGCGCAGATGGTCTGGATCCATGGCCATTGTAGCAGTTATGTTTTGGAACGATTACGATCGCTCTTTTTTTCCCTGCTGCGGCAGCTTACCCGCGGCGGGGCTCAGCGATGCCTTATGCACCGGATCGCGGGATGATTGGCGCCTGACCGATCAGGTCTTGGAAGGAGGTAGAAGCGTCACACAGGTGGAACAATGATCAAATGCAGCTCTAGATGGATGCCTGACAAGTCGGTGTGAGAGTTGTGGACTCCAAATAGGCAGCGGTGTATGGGTGATCGGAGGGGGCTTGAGCCACAGTTCCTGAATAGTTCGGTAAGGCTGGACTTGCAAGTGTATAGGAGTCGCACAAGTCACTGAATAAAAGAGAAGACGAAACTGAGTCAAAATTATTGCAAGTTTATTCTTAGAAATCGAATTCAAGTCCACATTCAGTTGCTTTTCCATGGATCAAAACAGTCAGGTGACTGGTAACTAGTGGCGGTGTCTATGATGTAATTGTGGCTGTGTGCTTATCAAATTGCCTTCTTTGGCTTCTCACTCGGGTTTCACCCTACAACAGTAAGTACTTTTCACTATCAAGAGTCTGTTGCAAATTTTTCTATTACAAAAGCTTTGACCGAAATCTCGATACTGTAATCCCATCTCTAACCTGAAGTCCATTCCCTGGATGTTCTACCAAAAGAGAAGCCTACTTTTCAATTCGTCAGACCAGGCCAATCTAAGGAACCCAATTAGCATTCACTCCCATAGTTTTCTTCCCCAAAAAAAGGAGAAACACTTACCAAAAATAGATCTGCTAGTTCCTTTCTCGATAACCGTAACCTCATCCCCAACCCTCAGACTAATCCCTTCGCCCTTCGGCTCTAAGAAAGCATACCTACCAAACACAGGACTATACTTCGCCCCAGGATCTACCCTGCGATCCTTCATCAACTTCTTAAGCACAGCACCAGACTCACCAGTCCCCATCTTTCCAGTCTCGTAGTCAACATTAAGGCTCTGACAACGTACACAATTCCCCGTCAGCAACAGCTTAGGTGACTCACGCCCTAATCCAGCGTCTACAGTGAGCGCCCTCCAAAAGTCCTCTTCAAATGCCTCCCCTGCCCCCGAAACAACAATGTTAGGTCGGAACTTCGTGCGGTCCATCTCTTCCCCCTCCGGCAGTCGCGCTGAGACATTATCAACGGATGTCTCGGAGATAACGAGATAAGGCGCGCAGTCCGCAAAAGTAATACGGTCTTCTTTCTGTGCGTGTAGAGTGTAAAGGTAAAATAGCACCAGCGCCAACACTACCACACTGGTAGTGAAAAGGAAGGCGGGCGTGAGATTTTGAGCTGTCTGGGGGGCTATCCCGTCGCGTAATAGAGTACCGCCACGAAGGAAGATATTAATCCCAGAAGCTACAATGAGGACCAGGAGGACTTGCTCCCATTTTCTGTCTGGTCTTGTTAGACTTTCGCGTATTGTGCGGAGCGCGGGCTGTTTGTCTTGCTTTGCTGGCCCAAGTGTACCCAGCACCTCTCTTGAATTTGATCCAAGGTATGCTAGGACCACGGGGTACCCGAAACAGGCACTGAACCAGTCATTGTACTCTGCGCCCATATTGTATCCTGTCGTTGGACTCTGGTGCATTACGACCTTGACGGGCTTGAGGCTTTTAGGGTTGGGCTGGAGTGGGATTTCCAGTCTGTTGGTTTTGAGGGGCTTCGGAGTTGACTCTGATAGAGGAGGGTGGTATGTGATGATTAATTTTCCGCTGTCCTTTTCGGTCTGCGGATATTCGATGTCGGTGTGGAAGAGGACCATCTCTGGGAAGTGCGGGACATGCATATTCTTCAGGGTCGTGGCACCAGAGCTATCATGGGATGCAATGACTTTGAGGAGCATAAAGTGGCGGTCATATTGAAAGCCGCGTGTGGTTAGGATTCCCTCCGTGATCGTTGTTGGTCGGAGGGATTTAATCGGGTAGACATAGAGCTGACGCTGGGTTAGTATGTTTCCCGCATCGCAATTCCATGTTCCTACCTGGCTGACTTTCATGATTGTATGTGACCTGTGGATGAAGAAAACAGTAGATTGTACTCCGTACCTCGATGCAGTATGAAAGTCGTTTTGGCAAGCCGATCACGGCCCGAGGGCGGAAGATGATGACATCGTTCTCCATTCCCCGCATTGGACTTTGCGGAGTAAAACCCGCCTATACATTACATGCACATCACTTACTTGGCTAATTAACAATTCAATTTTTTTTATTGAGTCTAAGAAAGTCTTCAATCATATTCGTTTCGAAATCGTGCAAGAAAATATACAGAGGGAATCACAAAAAGAAAAACGTCTACTGGTCCTCAGCCCACGGTAAGCTGAAGGTACCAACCCAATCTTCGACCTCTTGGCGGAGCACAACAATCTCCGAGATCTCCTCACCCTGGCCCACGTAGTCTAAGAAAGCCTTAACAGTGTTCGGGTTCTTGACACTGCGGGACTGGGCGGATTCACGGGCAGCCTTGTCCAGCTTCTGTGTGATAGTGACCGCACGATCGACGATATCGGCGACGCGGATGAAGTCCTCGGGTTGGAAGCCACGGGAGGTCATGGCTGGAGTTCCTAAACGCAGACCGCCGGGCTTAAGTGCGGACTTGTCACCAGGCACGGTATTCTTATTGCTGGCGACACCACACAGCTCGAGAACGCGCTCAACGCGGGCACCATCCAGGCCGCGGTTCTTCAGATCTACTAGCACCAGGTGGTTATCGGTGCCACCGGAAACAATGTTGTAACCGAGCCCACCGTTGCTAGTGGAATCACCTAGGCGCTTGGCTAGCGCAGAGGCGTTGAGGAGCACTGTCTTCTGGTAGGCCTCGAAATCGGGTGTCTGAGCTTGCTTGAGGGCCACGGCCAGCGCGGTGATAGTGTGGTTGTGAGGGCCGCCCTGGTGGCCGGGGAAGACAGATGCATTGATAGGGTTCTCGAGATCGTACATGATGGGATTGCCCTTCTTGTCGGTGCTGCGCACACCCTTGCGGTAGAAGATCATGGCGCCACGTGGGCCGCGAAGAGACTTATGGGTGGTGGTGGTCACGACATCTGAGTAGGGGAAGGGAGATGGGAGCACGTCGGCAGCTACAAGACCCGAGATGTGGGCCATATCGGCCAGCAAGTAGGCGCCGACGGAGTCGGCGATCGCGCGCATGCGCGGGTAGTCAATCAGACGGCTGTAGGCCGAGGTACCCGCGATAATCAGCTTGGGTCGGTATAGGGTGGCCGACTTCTCCAATGCATCATAGTCGATCAGGCCAGTTGACTCATCGAGGCGGTAGGGGAAGGTCTCGAAGTATTTGGAGATGGCGGAGATCTTCTTGGTAGGGGTCTGATAACCGTGGGAGAGGTGGCCACCGTGGGGAAGGTCCAAGCCCATGAGGCGGTCGTGGGTGTTGAGGAGGGCGGAATAGGCCATGAGATTAGCGGGTGAGCCAGAAAGAGCTGGAGTGAGTTAGCTTCGCATATATAATAGAATCACGTCGACTGTATCATACGTTGGACGTTGACTCCCCATTCCTCCGGGTTCAGACGGAAGGTCTCCAAGGCACGCTGCTGGCATAATCGCTCAGAGGCATCAATGTGTTCGTTTCCTCCATAGTAGCGGGCACCGGGGTATCCCTCGGAATATTTGTCTGAATTACGATTAGGATGCTCTGTTAAGCAAGCAAAGGCGGGGACCCGGAGCACATACTTTGCATAACACTGCCAAGGGCATCGAGAACAGCTTGCGATGTGAAGTTCTCAGAGGGGATCAAATTGATAAAATGCTTTTGGCGTTTTTTCTCCTAGCATGGTTTTAGCACCTAGTCGGTCAATTGGTGAGCTCTCTATCAGCAATGACGCACCTTCTGCAGGATGTTGAAAACGGTGGGGTCGGACTCCTCCAGAGATGCCGCGAGCAGCTATTACATGGTCAGTCTGTATGCTGTAAGTGCCATTGAATCGATGGTCACCCACCTTGTGCTGCGTATCGCGAGTAGATGCTACTCCCCGCGATTGGGCCAATCTGGGCACGATAGAGCGAGCGGAGACAACGGCTGCCCGGGAGCTCCCAAGGGGGAGCAAGCGAGCAGCAGATCTACCACAGCGAGACAGATACATGGTGAAGCTGAAGAATGTCAATTCTCAAGCAGTGTATTATGTACTTAGCCGATAGGAAAGTGACGGCTTTTAAACTGATGCTTGTCGGACGAGCACTGGCATCTTTCCGTTGCCCGCGGAAAGCGGGAAAAATGCACTAGTCCCGTTTGAGCTCTCCGCCTGGTCCGTGCGTCGGCTGTTGATTTATCTTCGCTCGGCAAAAAAACTTTCTTCTTTTCTTCTTCACACAACTAAATCCAAGATGAAGAAACGGCGTTTTAATCTGTGTCAGCACTCGTCGGTGACGGCTGGACTTCGGTTTAGCTGGCGCTGGACGGGCGCTGCTGAAAGGTCCCACGCCTCTTAACCATCCTTAGAGGGGCCAGTACCATCTGATTGGAATTGTTGTGTTGGTTCTTGTTAAATCCACATCCCCATGAACCCCTTCGTGGCAATTCCACTGTTGCATTGGCGACACTCTAGTACAGTGAGGGGTATACGATTATCGTATGCTCCGAGTGACTCGAGTACAATTACCTTAATAGTATCAGTATATAATCGCTATTCAATATTCACATCACTTGACGTGTGTTGCTGTTTCCAATTTTCCTCTCATGTTTTACGCATTCAACCCTCCCAAGATTAGGATATATGTACTGAGCCCCAATATGTTGTAACAAGAGGTCAGGAGCATTGATACTTTCTAGAGAGCATACGACACATGAGCCGCATGTGTTGTATGTATCATTGTAGGGTGCAATCATCGCGGTAATCATCACCAATACAATATCGTGTAGACTACTCCATACTTCGTATGTACTCAGGATTAAATGGGATTAAAGGCAAGAATAGAAAAACTTAGTCAACTAAGCTCGTCCACCCCTATCCCGTACCCTATCTTACATTGCTCATCACGTTGTCATCAAGTATAACTCAGGTAATCCTCACATTGGCGGTTACATATATCCTCCAAACAAGATTCATAACCAATGCCAGCCTAACGCATAGTGATCGTGAATCAAATCCAGTTCCCGTTCCCCAACTCACCTTCTGTTAAGGTTTCTGCTCCGCTTAGCGTAGTATGCGGCAGGCCTATTGCCAGCCGTTCTATCGGGTTGCTTCATCATTAAAAATATGTTGAGTTTCAGCAATCAATGACCCTCAGCATAAGCCAAATGATATTGAGATATCCTCGTTTTGTGGCCATCACCAACGGAGTCGTAGAGGCAGATGACCCTGCAAGGGGGTCTGCGTTTTGTCTAACAAGAAATGAACGAAGATGTCCGCATTTCCTGAGCCTGGTCTGACTCCAAATCCGATCACATGATCAAGAGGCGACTTTGCTAGAGGTGATTCTCTAGTCGTACCGTGATTTGTATCTGTCTGTGGCGCCGGATACTTGTGTATTGTCATTCCCAATATGTTTCGATCACCCCGGGCTTCCGGGCAGCAGGCTGAGGATTCAACAATCCTCTGTCCAATAGGAGGCTAAACAAAGGAGAACATGTTTAACTGACAGCGATATATATGGCTCCCGCGGCATCTGCACTTCCTGGCAAAACGTTCAGTCCATTGCCCAAGACAAGCCTTGTCATTGCTTCATTTCCCGTCACTGCCGCTACCAGCAGGGGCTTGCAACGGTATGCCTCTTTCTAGGAGAATTTGGACTGTTTCGGTATAACCAATCAAGGAGAAAGCGGGAAATCCCAGGATGTTCTACAGCCAGATAGATGTACGGCAGATCACCAATCTCCGTTTCTTGGTGATGCCAGCGTCCCATGCCATTTGGCTCTGTGCCGTGATTGAGGAGAAACTCGACAATATTCAGATTTCCTCATGTAACCCGATTTGGATCGATGCCATGCTCTTATAGAAGACGTACGATGACTTGTTGGTTTTCGAATATAGCCATATACAAGTACTCCCATCCTTTATGACATATTGCCCCGGAGAGCCTTGCTTCGAGCGCCAGCTTCGCAGTTGCTACATTACCGGTTTCCGCTGCCCAGCGCAGGGCACGGTGGAAGTAAGAACCGGCATCTCATTGCTAGAGAAAGGGTTCAGGGGCAGGCGTAACGTTCTGCATGTTTGGACAAAAGGGTTGAGGGACTACAAGTCTACGGATAAAACATGGGCCAGCGGATCAGGCCTGAAGTATGGGTCTTTCAGGTAAGGGAGATTGTAGAGACTCCATTTGTCAGACATGGACGTTAAAATGTGACAAATGATCTTAGGTGGCAGATCTAGAAGATGCATCTCTTACTTAGAATTGTCTGACAACCTTCCAAGACTGGAAAATCTTTCCTTTTATTCAGTAAAGCAATCAACGGGTCGTCACGAACCATGGATGGATGCTTCATTGCATAAGCACCCGAGGAGACCCCCCGGGAACCTCAGAAGTATAAGAAGTGTATATAAATCAGAGTCGAATTCAAGAGATGTTTGGGAGTTTTAATTTGTCTGAAGAATATAGCCAAAATGTCAAGCCATTTATGTTGTACACCATAATTCTTCATGGAAATGAAGTCATCAGAATAACAAAATTAATATAATAAGCCGATCAAAGAACCTAGAACTACAAATGGCCAATGCCCAGAGAAGTTCAACCCTAGCCCACCAGTGCCTAATTGGGAAACGATCCACCGGGCCACGCATCTCGAACCGGTTCTTGAGGGCGTGTGCGTAAGGGAAAAGGAGAACGCTAGGGGCAAAGTGACATTGATGTTCATAGTAATTGGGTGGTATCTCTAAGTACCTTTCCAAATTACTCCTATCCACCGTTTATTTATTTTTTTTGGGTCACTATTGCCACTCTCCTGTACCCCTTTTCCCGTTTTTTTGTTTTTGTTTTTCCTGTACCCTGGCCCTGACACCTTAGTGGCACGGGTACCTGAATCTCATTTTAATATTACAAGTTATAAACTCTCCTCCCCCCCCTTCTTCTTCCCTCTTCACCCACGCTTACATTCTCTAAATCCCCGGTTTTCAACCGATTACATTCTTTTGAACCCCCTGTCATTCATTCTGCATATAACCTTCTATCTGAACATTTTTGGAATCATTCCAGTCAACTCTATCACAATGCGTTTCACTATTGCCACTCTTGCTCTTGCCGCCGGTGCCATGGCCAATGTTGTCACCGAGACTGTCACCGAGTACACCACCTACTGCCCTGAGGCTACCTCCGTTGTGCACGGAGGCCACACTTACAGCATCTCTACCGTATGTTTGCCTCGAACAATCAAGTCCGACGCATACTAATAGCATTGCAGCCCGGTGTCATCACTATGACCCACGGTCCCTTCACCGTCACTCGTCCCCTGGTGACCTCCACCGTGACTGAGTGCAAGAGCTGGTGAGATTTTTTTTTTCTTGATTCAGTCCAATCAATCCAATCTAACACATGGCTCAGCTCTTCCTCCATCCCTGCTGTCCCCACTCCCGTGGCTCCTAGCAGCACCCCCCTCATCTCCGTCCCCGGCGGTGTCACCTCCACCCCTCTGGTCCCCGGCTCCGTCCCCACTGGTGCCCCCAGTGGCCCCGGTGCCCCCAGCGGTCCCTCCAGCGCCACCCCCTCCCAGCCCGCCTTCAACGCAGGTGCCATCAACGCCGCTACTGGTGCTGGTGCCGGTCTGGTTGCCGTCTTCGGTGCTGTTGCCCTCCTGCTGTAAAGCAGCTGAGCGTGTCAATGAGGTGAAGAGATAGTTTTGTTGACTGGTATTATCGCTTGATGATATCTGCACGATGCTATCGGGTGTATATGTCTTGTCTACGTTTTAGATAATACATAATGAGCCCTCTTGGGTCAAATTTTCATGTCTGCCTTTCTTGTGGAGCCTATATTCTGTTGGTTTTTGCGCATTATTCTCCTGGACATAACGCTTTTTATTATATTTACATCTGCCTTCGATCAAGAATGATCTCTTACTTTCTACTCTTACATTGGACCTGAGATACTCCGCCTGTGAACATAGAGCTCTTTGCAGATATTTGTAGTCATCAATTGATATGTATACTATGTGGAATTAATTATCACTATCATTTTCACATCTCATCATCTGCCATGCAACTGACACTTATCAAGTTTGATATTGAAACTCATGTTCCCAGACCTTCCAATTATTTGTCGTTCTCACTTGTTCTCATTTGTTATCCGTAGCTACGGACATGTATAAATTATTGTCAATACTCTATCTGCACAACTCATCATCCTTCTCCATCTTTGTATCTCCCATCATCCCCTCGGCCCCATAGAAGCCTCTGGTACCTCCATTCCATCACCAATCTGGCCAAAAAGATGTCACCTTCTACAAAGGAAAAGATCCAGGGTTCAGTCCTCTTTCCAGATCCCACATATGCTAAAGAGGTGAAGGTCCGGTTTCACAACTTATACTTACATCATGAGCTCAATGATCCTCATAATTACTATATTTGATACCACAACACAGTCTATAGATGATGACAAAGATGCTGACATACATGTACGCCATAGGATCTCCTCGATGACAGCTCTTCAGAGTCGATTGACACTGTTGCGACCAAAAAGCGCAAGCGGGGAGATCGATCTGGGGCCAAGTATTTGACGACGAGTTCCGCAATGGAGACCCTGTCCCCGGGATCGATTCACTCCAAGACCCCCAAGACGTCACGCAACAGGTTGCACAAGTCCTTACACAAGAAGGGCTCTAGGAGAGGCAACAGTCCCACCGAGTATGCCATGCCGCATGAAATATTACGGTCCACACCTCCCACGTCCACCCTACGAGAATTCGCGCCGAAGTCGTCGGATCAGAAGGTCGCTAAGGAAGCTACTTCTACAATGCCCACGCCCACGAATTCTTTTGAACTCGGAGATCTCCCACCTTCAGAGTTCATCGTCCCCCGCGATCTGGAGTTTGGTTTGGGCATATTTGATTGCTCGTCGGAGAGGGAAAATTCATGCAACCCAGTCTCCGAATACCTACTCGAGCAGCAGAACGAAATGCCCACTCCGTACACCCCAGTTTTGCGTGCGGTGTCGCAGTACAATGAGCGCCTTCGGGGCCAGTGTGGAAGCGGGTGTGAGACACAGATGGTGCGCCAGATGTATGATGAGCTAGGTGATATCTCTGAGCGCATTGAAAACATTATGCGTGGGATTAGTGTGATGCTAGAGAAGAATGTGATGGATGATTGTGAATTCAATGGTTTCGATGATCAATTTGGTGACCATTCTGAGGAGGAATTCCCCGGTGCGCTCAAGGGCGGTTCTAAAAGCCCGTTGGGGTGGAGCGATGGGGAAGACAATGCACTCTTTGTGGCTGATGAACGCGTTTACCCTGGTGAGTGTGGCAGCGGCGTGTATGGGGATGACTAGATGGGCAATTTCACTTTCTAATTACAAGAGCTTGCTGCACACATTGCACGCTTATCTCCATTAGCTGTATCGCCTACAAAGATCGGAAAGGACATGACCCTAGAATGATTTTCAATTTCACACCACCAGACATGCTTGCTTCCGTCATTTCATAGATGTTCCCTTTGGGCGAAGTGAGACCTTGAGGGATAGTCCTCAAGCTTATGCATATTCGTTAATCATGTAGACTCCAAGTCACAATGATATCTCGTAGCAACATAACTCATTTCCATATCCATACTTCAAAAAAGCGGCATCGTCACCCGATTTGTGTAATCAACATTCTCTTTCACGCTTTCAATGCGCTCATGACAAGTGCCAAAAATCCTATCCCAAAGACGAGTCTGCTTGCCATAGTTATGGCTTTTTCTCCATCCATAGCGGTGATGTAGATCATGATCTTCAATCACCAACTCAGCATCGAACAATTCTAGCAGCCAATTTACCGTAGAGGGGGCACCGCCATGAAGTCGAAGTCCACTATGTCCAATGAACTCTGAGAATGCAATATATTGAAAGCAGATCCACCATCCGTAGAAACCCATAGGTAGCCCAATAATTTTCAACGTGGTATACGCGAGCAGTGGAATACCCGTAATATCCATAAATTCTTGTTCATGGTCGGCGTATGCAGAAAGCAAAGGATTGGGATGTTTCGTCAGATGGTGTCTACGGTGGAATTTCCATAGAGGGCCCACCGAGTGCATCATACGGTGATACCAGTAGAACCAGAAGTCGACCGTAATACTGTACAGACCGATCTCCAAAGGAAGCCACTTCCATTCTAGCGATGTCGGCATCTCCTCCGAGTGATAGGTCAGAAATACAGCCATCACCATACGCAGCGTTGCGGTGGATATAAGCTCCCGTATCACCTTGCCCACGCCAACATCGGGGATCTCATCCCGAGGATGCTTGTCGCCATCCAAGAAGCCATAGACATGACCTAGGCGGCGCATGACGTGCATTTCGTGAATTCCATTTAGCTTGAACGCACTAGAATATAAAGCAAAGGCTGCAATCGGGTGCAGGTTTTGGCCGGTGTAGGTTATGTAGACGTGGTGTAGTGTGAGCGGGATCGCGGCGTGTAGTAGAATCCACAAGTGGACCGTCCATTCTCGTATGACGGGGATTTGATCTTTCTTCGAGAAGATTGGAACCTCCGCATCAAAGTCAATGAGATGCAGGCCAAGGAGCTCAATCATCCAATGTGAGAAGTTCCATTGAGATCGGTCTTTGCGCCAGGTAGATACCATGGAGTCTTCCGGATTGCGCTTGACGGTGGTCGTTTGAATAGACATCATTAATTAGATTTGAGCTTTACCCCGGATAAGAGATAGCACCGGGGCTAAAGGCAGATTTATATCAAATTCTTAGACACCTCTGTTCGTCCAAAGTGGGTTGGGTATAGCCACCATGTGAAGTCATGATCGACACACACAACCACACCCAACCCTCAAACAAGAGACATTGTCAGAACTCTGTAATTGATGTGAACAAATTAAATCAGGCATATCCAAGCGTTGGAAATTCCTAAACAGGGATGGAGTGCGGGTTTGGATCGTGGGGGAGGACGTTAAGACTTGTGATTGAGTCGTTTGCCTCGGTCCGAATGTCTACGAAGGGGAAATTGATCAGGGTCTTATTTGGTTGCTGATCTCACCATCTTGTGAGATATGAGATATTCAGAATTCCAAATTGATGGGACGGTGATTCGTACAAAACATCCAAAAATCTATGTATCTTTCTTTTGGCTGTGATCCTCAACCCAGAATTTTGTCAGCACTATCATTGTCCCCGCGATACACGTGCGTGTGCTCTTCATCCATTTTGAACGATTGGTGGACGGAGATATCTTTAGTGCCGGTAAATCGATCGGCATTCTCACCATGGATGCTGTGCAGCTGATACGAGTGCTGCCCTCCAATATTCTTGGGCTGGAACCTGTCCACAGGGGTATCCTCTGTGAGTTTTGTAGTACCGCGCGAGCGGGACGAGAATAGGGAAAGCCGCGGTAGATATATAGCTATCAGGCGCTTGAACCGCATTGCGCAGGCGCAGATGATGCCAAGATTGACCTCAACAAGGGACCATACTCCTAGGATTGCTTCGGTATATGTTGTATCGGCAGTTTTGCCGAGGAGCAAAACGTATGGCAGGCGAGCTATTGAGCAGACGATGACACTGTGAAATGGGGCTTAGCGGGAATTATCTCTGGAGAGACTGTGAAACACTTCAAATTGAAGAGAGCACAAACGTACCCAGATCCCAGAGCCAACAGGCAGCCCACCGTGACTTTTTGTTTCGTTGAAAAATGAAGACTGTGGATCGTGGGGATCGGAATGACGATCACAGCTAAATCAGAGGCAATGTTCAGAACTGCCTGAGATAAGGCAACGTTCTCTAGGCATACTGTAGTTCCTGCATGAAGAGGATTACACGGTCCTCCGGCGATGATGCATAAGGTCAGAGTGTATGCAAAGATCGCTACTGCGACCGCCACGACAAGGTAGCGGTACATCTTTGCGGGATTGATTTGATATAAGACAGACAGAATCGCCATCTTGGTAATGCATGGACATATCAAATAAGTCAAGGTATTGACGAGCAGCCTCTGATTCTTGTTAGTCGGTGTCCTCCAGGATATGCAAAGAAGCATCTCACTTTGTTGAACTCCATGAGATCTTCCAGGTTAACATTCCACATGTGCTTTCCCCAACCATAATTCATTACTATTTGCGTCAGATTATAGCTTAGTACAAAGGTATAAAAGACCAACAGTTGACCATAGTCACAAAATAGACCAGCGCAATGCCATAGGATATCGTGATAGTGACTATCGAGTGTAGTATAAGTGTCTAGCAGGGCATCAAAGCGGTTCGTATCATACTCAAATCTATTTCAATCTTCTTGATCAGCTTAAAAGCCTGGAAGTAACGAAGAGCAAGGAATATTGTGGCAATGAGATAGGTGACCCCAAAGGCAATCACAGTCCCTAATTGCAACGAGTTATAGGGCTCATGAAAATGTGATTCCTTGCCACTCGGTGGTGGCATTCCTGGGGTCGTAGCCAGGTCCATTGTACCTGATTGCGGAGTCAACGCGATCCATATTGACCTGGAGCTCTGCTTCTATACTATATAGCCCCTGTCCAGGCGTCCGCAAATTTCCCGCCACGCGGACTGGATCCTTGTCCATCTTAGTCAAAGGGATTCAGAACGGCAGAAGAAAATGACCGTAACCAGTAACATTAGAGGGCTATGAAACTCAAGTGGGGACTCGTCTATCCTAGTGCATGCTGCTAGCAGAGCTAACTGCCGTGGACTGCACTTTCTTGGCCTATCACAAAGACATTGTTCCTTCCAACGTTTGAATCCTCCACAAATGGTACTTATGCCACGCTACGACAAAATATCATGAAATCAGAGGCTTGCCAAATTTCAAGAAGAATGGAACAAGTGGAGATCAGCACTAGTACGGAGTATAGAGCGCATTGGATCTAGCCTTCAAAAACCCCCCGCGCTATCTTTTTGACACCCATTGGAAATAGGGGTTTCCAACGGAATGATATTAACACATGTGATTCTTCTTTCCCCAAACCCAGTAATCTACTGTGATATTTCTTTGGTGCTGTCTGTTTCTTCTCCGTGATAGACCAATACACACAATGAAGTTGCCATTCGGGCGTCAGCCCACCATGCAGCCAATTCCAGGTGATCGAGTGGTGCCACTCCATTTCTTTGAGGATAGTTTGCTCGTTCAGGGTAACAACATGGCCGTATCGCTCGTGTTTGATGCGGTGCTTGATCCTAAAATATTGCGCGAGTCCCTTGAGGGCCTGGTTCAGCAAGAGGGATGGCAAAGGCTTGGAGGAAGACTGAGGAAAAATGTACGAACGGGCCATTCCTTGGCAAATGGAAAGCCGTATAAACCTAAGAACTGGACACAACTGTATACTGACACTTCTTGTGTTACCAAATAGGCCTCTGGTAAGATTGAATGGCACATTCCAGCCCAGTTCTCGGCCGACAGACCAGCGATCTCCTTCGCACATGTCGATCATGGCATGCCTGCTGCTTCACACCCGGCGGCCTCCCGGATACCGAAGCCACAAGATCGACCCTGCATTGTCGGCGACCCGGATGATTTGGAAGGCCTGGCGTGGGAGCCTGGGTACAAGCCCAACGGCATAAATGACTACCTCACCTCGGATCTTCCTGTCTTAGGCCTGCGCGTCAACTCTTTCACCGACAAGACCGTTGTAGTGCTGCAGTGGCAGCATGTTGCGTTTGACGCGTTGGGCATGCAGTACGTCGTCGAGGGCTGGAGTTCCATGCTTTGGGGGAAAACAGCCGAAGTATTGATTCCATGTGGCCTTGATTCGGATCCATTCCACTTTCTTTCTCAGGAGTCGCATTCCGCGACGGAGGAACATGTGCTGACTGACAGGAAGGTCGGGTGGGGAGGTTTACTGCGGTGGGGTCTCGGTTATGGAGTCGATATGCTGGTGCGAGCCAAGGAGAACCGCATGGTCTGCGTTCCAGAGACGTATTGGCGGCCGCAATGGGAGAAGGCTGTAGAAGAGCTCCGTACTGAGGCCATTGCCAATGGCGAAGATCCCTCAAAGGTGTTCCTGACCGAGAATGACGTTCTGACTGCCTGGATCTTACGCTGTGTGGTTGGCGCGATAGAGATAGGCCCCGAGACAACGGTAAGCTCTAGTCTCCGTACCAAATTCAGATTAGTTACTAACACTGTTCCCTCCTCAGGTAGCTGCATCAATCGCCATGTCGCTCCGTAAATCTTTTGAAGGCGAGCTGCTACCGGCCTCCACTGAGCATCCCTACGTTGGAAACGCTTTTGGCTGGGCCAACGTACTTGTTACCGCCGGCGACATAATTTCTAAGCCGCTTAGTTGGCTCGCACGGCAGGTCAGGCACGCCATTAACGAACAGGGTACGCGTGCTCAACACGAAGCGTACTACGCTATGGTTCGTACGTCTGGAACCGGCCTGCCTATTATTGTATTTGGGGATGGTGGAATGGCTCAAGTCGGCTTTTCCAATTGGTCGAAAGCTGGCTTGTTTGATTTGGACTTTTCCCCGGCTCGTCAGGGGTCCAGCACCGACAGCCTGCCGTGCAGGCCATCATATGTCCAGGAGAATCATGGCCCTGTGAAGCCTGCGGATGGTTTCTTTATCCTCGGAAAAGATGAGAAAGGCAATTACTGGACCTCCGCATGTAAGGTGAAGGGCCAGTGGGCGAAGTTTGAGGAACAGTTGAAAGAATTTGACATAATTGATTTAGAGCCACCAAAACAGAATTAGGGCCGAACAGTTAAGAGACGTGATGATCTTCTTGAGGTGATGCAGATGTATGTTAGAGATCCAGTTGTCCTGGGGTCTGGATTATGGGACATATAGTACAGTCGTATATATGGAGACCTAATGAACAAGATATGTATACAGATGATACATCTTCAACCCCTCAAGTTCACTGTCTTTACGTGGGATCTTTTGATGTTGGAGATCGTCAATAGTGAATGAGCTGACGCAGTGGTACTGTAGGCGATGATACATAACAGCTCGATCTCTGGCTTCGGAGTGTATCTTGAGCTGGTGTTTCCTACCAACTGATTTGACAACCACCAATATCTGGAACTAGTGAAAAGATTGATTCTACAAAGCATCGGACTTGTTAGTTGCTTTACCGATTGCAATTCTTGTATCTTCAAATATGTACCAAGAAAGATCGAAGAAGGAACTCGAACGAATCCCGAAGTAGGCCAACTCTTGAATACATACGCGCTCTCTCATAAACCCCGGTCTGTGGGCCCTAACTTTTTCCATGCTCATTGGGGGCTCAAGATGGCTGTATGCAATAGCTTGCAATTCAGCGGAGGCTTTGATAGCACTTTCTTAGCCACCTGTTGTCTCACTCGCTCTTTTGCTCGCAAACATGTTCCCCCTCTTCATAGGCACATTGGAAGAAGAGATAACCCGCCAATGGGGGGCCCACCAGAATCAGCGCTAGCATCTTGCGATGCTCATGTTTAGATCGGTTGGTCGACTAGAATGGGGAAACCGCTGGACGGTGTTCTGTGACGTGATAACCCGGCCTTCCTGGGAGGATCCCGACAATGTGTTGTGTTATGTACTATGTTTGTTGGGTTTGACTTCCTCGTCAAAGACAAAGACCTGTTGTAGGAAATGGTGCTACTCTCGTGTGTAGTCGAGATCTGCTGTGGATTTCATTCCACGTTGATGGCAATTTAGGGTGCTCTCAGTGATGCTTTCGCTGTCGTAGTAACCACTCGCGGTGGCACAGATACGCTTGTTCTAAATGAGATTAGTACGGAGAGCTAAGAATGGAGCAGATGGGTGTCAATTGCTCGCCAATTGTTCCCCGATGCGCCACATCCTCCACCGTCTACCATAATCTCTCTACACCTGGGTCCATGCATTGCCGTCGTACATCAAGATATCCACCTCCGGACGTGAAGAGTGAGTGATTGACTGGTTTTCAATGTGGCTGAGAACTTCCACGGAAATTTGGCGTAGGTTCTCCACCCTCGTTTCATCATCGGAGGACCACTCATATCGCAGCACTCTCTCGTGACCTGTACGAGTCTGGGTGAGACGGAATTTGGACAGAGTAGCTTGTGTGGGGATCGGATCATCATCAAGGGCGCCGCTCCGGTCTTCCATTGAGATCGAAGGGGTCCCAAATTCATCCAAATTAGCCGCGCTTCGGTCGGCGGACCAATCTGAATAAGGTCCAGAACCTAGAGTCCCTTGCTCTAGGTCCGAAGGCATGGGCAAGCGTGGGCCGCAGAGTGGGCGCAATTCTGGAGGACTCCCTTGGGGTGTCATCTCGTATTCTTCTCTCTCTGAATCCAACAATTCTTCATCTGAATAAGGCCCTTCGCCATCTAATTCTCCCATAAAGCGCTTGAATCCTTGGGTGGATTCTCTCATACGAGATTTTTCTTGTTGGTTTGAAGGCTGATTGGCATGACTAGTATCTTCATATCCACTATCGGTGTCATAGTCTTCATCTTGCAGTTCCTGGACGTCCTCGGATTCGTAAGTTGCTCCTTCATGATCACACCAGATGCAGAGCTTTCCATCGCTAGTGACGACAGGCTCGGTAGACCCATGGAGTGTCTTGGGGATGTTAATGTAAGGGTAATTTTGTTGGCAGACGGTCTGGGTGGCGGTGTGGTCCATGGCTTCGTCAATTCTTTGGCTGGCTCTGGGTCTTTCACCGAAGACATGATCCCGGGTCGGAAATAACAATACCATCGGGTTGAGAGTCTCTGGGGTAGACAACGGGTGATGAAGCATTGGTGCGGCGGGTTCATGCTAGGAAAATGCATTGTCAGCATGCAATCTCAGGTTGGATGTATCCGAGATCGACTCACGGATGCAATACTTTGTTCACCCTCGGACACCAAAGAGCCCCAGCGTGAGGTGTTAGTGTCGTCCTCTGTCTTCTCGTGGAGTTGGAACCGCAAAGTTTTAGCGACAGATTTAATATCTGTAACGATCTCCTTCCACTCGCCATTGGTCTCAAACGCGGTGTTGACATGCACATGAGACCATACTGGATCGCGTTTGTTCTTCATCCAAACCCACTGGGTGTTCAGGGTAGCAAATGGAACGAAGCCTTGGATACCGCGCTCGTTCAGATGTCCCCTAAACATGTACGAGAATATCTCCTCGATTTCCTTCTTGTCGCACATAAAAAATCGATACAAACAGCAGAGAACCTGTCGCTTGTACTGGTCCCATCGAAGCGTGGGTCTTGAGAATCTGGTTGGCTTCATCTTGATTGGATGAGGGAGACCAGATTTAGGACTGAGTGATGACAGGGGAAGAAAGTGAACTAAGCTAAAGATTGGAAGAACAGCTTGGAGTTGGGTCAAATCAGATAGCAAACACTTCCAGTCAAAGGGGGAAGTGATGGTAACAATAGTGTACTTTAGTTTCTATAGCCAAAATACAACAGTTAGCCTTAGAATTCTCGCTTACTTTGGATCTTGATTCCTTCGGAATTCCAAGATCCCATTCAACTACACATTTCCCATTTAAGTGCCTATGCAAGTCATGACTGGACGTTACGCTGAATCTTCGCTCCAGGGGATTTGTTCACTTTCCTCTATCTCCCTCTCTCTTTCGGCAGGGAGCAGCTAGCTCAATGTGGTTTCATTTCCCTAGCATTGCAAGGAGACTCAAAGTTCTAAGGTAGTATTGGCTTCATGATTAGATCTCGGATAGTCTGTGGGTGTGTGTCTGAGCTTCTTTCGGGGCTGTCTCTGTTGATAGCCCCAACATCGTCAGGGCGATAGGCCAAGAAGTGATCATAAAAGGACTTGACTTGTCGGGAGCATTTTGGGCTGGAGTAGCCACAGTCAACTACAAGTCAACCGCCGGTAAAGACAGACAGGGAGAGATCAGATCTTTACAAGCTGCCCCGGGTTCCCAAGCGAAATTGAGCCGACTCTGAATTCAAAACGAGGATCAGAATCTCCAGCTTTGCAAAGATGCTAAAAGATGATTCTTAGACTTGGAGGGTGAAGTATACGTTGGCATGGTTATTTCTATCAGGCCGACTCGGAACATTGAAGTCATCCAACGTGAACGAGATGTCTATCATTTCCAATCATTTCATACCCAATGCAACGGTATTGTTAGTTGTCTTTGAAAGAAGCCACCCAGCCACTTCAATAACTTCAACTTTCGTGGTTCTGGGATGTGGCTCATACGCTCGCGGCTCGAGTATATCCACAAACGTTTGCTTTATGGTAGACACTGCACGTCAAAACTTCATTGTCGATCCAACTCTGGCAATTGAATTCTGTGATATCTCCGATCTCTTCTTCGCAAAGATATTGATATGGGCGCGATGAGAACAGCCATATTACTCGAGTTGGTCTCGGCTTTCTCAGAGCAGTCAGCTATAAAGTTGAAACTGACAAGAATTGTGAAGTTAACCTCTCTCAAGACAACACTCCGACTAAAATTCAAGCTTCCTGGCCAGAGAGGGAATTTCATCCTAACACAATGTTTGGTTTGGTTCGATTATTAGATTGTTGGGGCACTGGAGTCGATCAGCCTACATTCCCCAGCCTTCAAGTATCTGAATGACAATTGACTTACCATTGTACGTGTGTCGTTTAGATCTCGAGACCGCCTCGTAAACAGAATTCTCTTTCCTCTTTTGGATTTCCGGCTCCCCCTGCCAAGAGCATCACCCATAGCGTAACATTCACGGGTATTCATTCGGGTGCTGGTTGATACGTACCCGCGAGGGGCAGTGCACTTGGCACTTGCTCTTTTTTGTATCTTTGTCATAGGATCCAAAGCCACGGGAAATCAAACGTCTTTCTGAAACAGATCCTGACCTATCAAGCGAAGCTCTGCAGACCCTCAGCGGACCGTCGTGGGTTGATGATGGAGCCCTATTGCTCTCCCCCACAATCTCCGACTTCCTTGCTTCATAAGAAGAAGTAGAAGATGTCACATACGCATCTCTGATCTGAAATTTTAAATCAATCTGCATCATGGTTGATACACAAACAACAAAACAAGACCATGTGGATGTCCTCATTGTCGGTGCCGGACCAGCTGGGCTTATGTTAGCCAACTGGCTAAGTCGCTGCGGAGTCAAGACCCGTATCGTTGACAAGCGTGGCTCGAAGGTACATGCTCGTGTAAATATGAGAATCACATCAAATGCTGACTTCGGTGCAGGTCTTCAATGGCCAAGCGGACGGTCTGCAATGTCGTACTCTGGAGATCTTCGACTCTTTTGACTTTGCCCACCGGGCATGGCGCGAGGCAAACCATATGCTGGAGATCTGTCTGTGGAATCCCGATCAGAATGGCCGTCTTCAACGAAGCAACCGCATTCCGGATACCATTCCAGGAATCAGTCGTTTCCAGCAAGTCGTACTGCACCAGGGTCGCATCGAGCGGTTCTTCCTCGATTCAATCAAGGAACATAGTGACATTTGTGTTGAGCGTGGTGTGCTGCCCACATCTTTTGATTTTGACGAAGCCAAAGCAGGTGATTTCGAGGATTACCCTATCAACGTCAAGCTTAGTACTTTGTCTGAGGAAGAATCCACGCCTCAACAAAGACTGCAACATCAGAGATCTTCTGGTGGCCGGGAAACAGTGGTCGAGGATGGAAATTTCAGAAGTAACTTAGTTGCTGATGACACTGAGGATCTTATCCAGGCGGCAGAGGCCAAAGGAAATGGAAATTCCAGCCAAGTGGAGCATATCAAGGCTAAGTTCCTGGTCGGTTGTGACGGTGCCCACTCATGGGTGCGCCGTCAGGTGGGCTTTCAGTTGGAAGGTAGCTCAACTGATTATATCTGGGGTGTGCTTGACATTGTCCCCATCACGGATTTCCCAGATATCCGCCATCGATGCGCCATTCACTCCGTGGATGCGGGTAGCTTGATGGTCATTCCTCGCGAGAATAAACTTGTTCGGCTCTATATTCAGCTTCAGGCAACGGATTGCCAGAAGAATGGCTCCAAAGCTGACCGGTCCTGGATCACACCTGATATCATTTTGAAATCTGCCCAGCGTATCGTCTACCCATATAAGCTCGATTACGCGTATTGCGATTGGTGGACTGCGTATCAAATTGGACAGCGAGTGAGTAACAGATTTTCGCAAAGCGATCGCGTTTTCCTGGCAGGTGATGCTGTTCATACGCATTCTCCCAAGGCTGGACAGGGGATGAATGTCAGCATGCAGGATAGTAAGTTTTCGAATCCCGTCCAGGTGGCATGGTTGAAATTAATGACGATATTGTTGAATAGCGTATAACCTGGGATGGAAGCTTGCCCATGTGGTAAACGGACTCAGTGAACCCTCGATTCTCCAAACCTATGAGTCTGAGAGAAGACAGATCGCACAGGACTTGATAGCTTTCGATCACCGCTTTTCGCGACTTTTCTCCGGACGCCCAGCCAAGGATATCATGGATGAAGAGGGAGTCAGTATGGAAGAGTTCAAAAGTGCCTTTGAAAAAGGAAACGAGTTTGCAAGCGGCATAGGTGAGTTTCTCAAATTACTTGAGTCCCTAGTACTAACCCCAATTTCTGTAGCTGTCGACTATGCTGCCAGCATTCTCATTGCAAAGGAAACGGATGTCACAGAACGCGGCAAGGACACGATTATCAGCAAACCACAGCTGGCTGCGAAGATTGATATTGGTAAACGTATACCTAGCTTCAAAGTTTTGAATCATGCCGATGCACGCCCGTGGCATCTGCAGGAGCTATTGAAGAGCAATGGGCGCTGGCGAATAATGGTTTTTCCTGGACGACTCACCGAACCACAGAATATGAAACGCTTCGAAAAGTTAGGAGCCTCTTTGGGAGGGCCGGGCTCTTTCATTCGCCAGTTCACACCATCAGATAATCCCATCGATAGTGTGATTGAGGTACTGACGGTGCATTCCGGACCACGTACTGAGATCGAACTTCTTGATCTCCCGGAAGCGTTTCACCCTCACCATGGTGACATGGGATGGGATTATTGGAAAGTCTTCGTCGACGAGGATTCTTACCATGAGGGACATGGCCAAGCTTATGAAAACTATGGCATTGATCCAAACCGTGGTGTCAGTGTCATTATTCGCCCTGATCAGTATGTTAGTTGGCTTGGAGAGGTCGATGACTACGAGCAGATGTCGAGATTCTTCACTAGTTTCATGAAGCGACAATTGGCGGGAAGTTAGGGTCTCGGAGTCCCGAGAGAGCACTTACAAGCATGTTACAGTAATACTTGTCCGTACGGGGGAAATAATACATATAACAGCATCCAAGCGCAACTTTCATGGGAAATTTTTGGAATCATACGAATCAATCTCCCACCTGCGGGCACGGATGATAAGCTGAATTTGAGGGTAAAATTGTCGTCCAGGAAACCCAGAGACTACTTCGAGTATCTACAGTAACACGGGCTTGCAGTTCTGGGAACTTCTTAAACTTCAACAGCCCTTCTACCTCTTTTCTTGTCGGGATCTAAGGTGTCATTTGTCAATATCTCTTCGGTTTGGCTTGATATCCTTTGACTGGAAGAATTGGTGACAAGATCACCGTAATGCTCCAGATAGCTTCACGATAGCTTCTTGATATCCCAGCTTGAGCCCAAGCACTGATCATCATACCCAAGCATCTATGCATCTGTTCATCTAAAGCTTTGTCTTCCCGGCCCCATTCGCCTTTGCCTTCTCCTCGAAATACTCCCTAACCCTCTCCCTTGCAACAGAGACAACCTCCGCATCCTCAACAGTGGGCGGAATACTGACCTCCGCCGCATAATCGCCCTTCACTCCAAGCTCAACAAGCTCTCTTAGAACACGCCTAAGCGTCTTCCCACTCCGCGTCTTAGGGATCATGCCCCGACCCTGTATAATCCCACCTAGCGACGCGATAGCGCCGATCTGCTCGCGGACCAGCGCATTAACCTCGGCAAATAACTGCGGGCTCGGTGTTGCCGGAAGAGGCCCAATTTCGCCAGGGACTACCCCGGCTTTGAGCTGGATGAATGCAAAGGGAAGGTGACCTTTCAGTGGGTCCGGGATACCGACAAGGCTTGCTTCACTGATTAATGGGTGCGAGAGGATTGCTTGCTCAATGGTTCCTTTGGGAATGGGTCAGATCGTGTATTGGATCATGGCACTGGGACGCAAAGAAAAGGGTGTTCTTACCGGTACTAAACCGATGTGCGGCAACATTGATGATATCGTCACTCCGTGACATGACATGCACGTAACCATCCTCATCAACCATCCCCGCGTCGCCGGTATCAACCCAGCGTCCATTAAATCGCTTGAGATATCCACGGTAAAATCGCTCCTCGTCCTCGAAGAGGGTTGTGAATGCCGATGGGGCGAGTGGTGGCGCCATAACGATATTACCCATTGCGCCGCGCGCAACTTGATTGCCTTCATCGTCAACGATGCGGACGTCAAACCCAGGCATCGGAAAGCCCGCTGAGCCGGGACGAGGTGTGAGGGGGTGATGATCTGGGCCGGGTGCCTGACTAGCCAGAGCAGCACCCCCATTCAATGCAACACCTGTAATCGGGGACCCGGATTCCGATGACCACCAGTTATCAATCACAAGCGCGCCATCCGCTGCATACTTACCAAGTAGATCTTGATATGAGCAAACAATACTGGGCTCGCTACGCTCACCAGCGAGGAACAGTGCACGGAGGGATTTCAATCCTCCGCGCTTCCCAACCTCGCCGATTAGCTGGTTGTCTGGGTCATCTTTCCGGATAGCTCGCATGGCGGTTGGTGCCGTGAAGAGTGCATTCACATTGTGTTTCTCGACGATGCGCCAGAATGTCCCTGCGTCCGGCGTGCCGACGGGCTTGCCTTCAAACAGAACGGTTGTGGCGCCGACTAGCAGCGGCGCATAAAGGATGTATGAGTGTCCGACAACCCAGCCTATATCTGATGCGCAGAACATGGTATCGCCAGGACCTTTGATTCCGAAGACAGATTTTATAGAGAGTTCCAGGCCCACGGCGTGCCCGCCTGCTTCGCGGAGTACGCCTTTAGGGAGGCCGGTTGTTCCTGTAGAAATAGATGAATATGGACAGAACAGGTCTGTCAGGAACCGGATTCGGTTCTGGAATCCACTTACCACTTGTATAGATGATATAAAGGGCGTCCGTACTCTTAACAGGAACAGGTCTAGCCTGAACCCCACGGAACCGTGCACTCTTGACCAGTCTCTGCCAATTACGCTGTCCCCCACGCTTATCGGGCTGGTTCCAGCGCAGTTGCTCACGCTGCCAGACAATGACCCTGCTCGGCTTGAAGCTGCTTGCCTTGATGGCGCCCTCAACAAGCGGTCGGTAAGAAATAGGTCCTTTGGACCCCTCTATTCCACATGACGCTGTCATTATAGCTCTCGGGCGCGCGGCCTCAATACGCTGTGCTAAAGCTTGCGGGGCGAAACCACCAAATACAGCGGCGTGAATTGCACCTAGTCGTGTTATTGCCAGGGCGGCTATTAAGGCCGCGGGAATCATTGGCACTATATGCATTATGTGGTCAGCTTTGGATTCCTGCTTTTAATCGATTCTCCAATTGTGGTCTGCATACTGTAAATAATAACAACATCGCCCTTCTCTACCCCTTCCTCCCTAAGAACACCAGCAAGAACCTTAACCTCATCGAGTAGACGGGCATACGTATACTTTTCCGTTACACCAGTAACTGGTGATTCCCATACAATTGCAACATTATCGCCATTGCCTGCGAGCACATGTCGGTCGACACAATTATAAGTTGTGGAGATCTCGCCGTCGGCAAACCACGACCAGTGCTCGTGCTCGATGTCCCCGAGGGACTTTGTCTGCCGAGTCAGGGCCCGTAAAGGCTTGCGGTGCCAGTGAAGTCTTGCCGCATGATGGGACCAGAATGATTCTGGGTCGTTCAGGGAATGCAAGTGGGTGATTGATTGGGGGTGGGACATGCTGGATAGAGTAGAAAGTGATGTCGAGGTCAAATACTCTGTCGACTTAAAAGAGAAGTTGCCGAGGGTCTGTGCTCTCTTCCCCCGCAATTTGGTCACATCCAGGGTAGAGTAGAACTGTGCAAGGTAAACGGGCTACACTTGTACCTTTCAATTTGTCCTTCAAAAATCTTTTGTCTATATCGCATGGTAGAAAAAAAAATGAAAATAAAAGCTCAGTAGGGTATCATATCGAAATGCCTGCTAATGCGCGACTGTGATCTTCTGGCTTCGTCTGGGAATTTTTGGGGTTTCTTTCAGGCTCCGAGACGTGTCCGAAAGATTCCGATCGCAACTTGGCAAGCAGAGATCGAAGTAGGCTATCGTCAAAAAGGCAAGAAAAAAAAAAAAAGAGTAAGGGGAGGTTGGGGAGATGTAGACAGCTAGTCTGCATACCTCGGCGCGCATTCCCAAAGAGCAAAATCAAAGCCAAAAAAAAAGAGAGAACAAAAAAAGAAAAGAAAAGAAAACCTGCGCTCAAAGGCTTGCAGACACTGGCTGGCCTTAATTCCCCACGCCAGTTCCCAAGCTCTGCAAAAGTGCGAGCGTAAAACATATAGCATGGGGACCACCGACGCCGAACGAGGTAACCAAAAGACAAAACCCTCCAGATGCACCCGGGACCAAAAGAGAGAAAGAGAAAAAGAGAGGGAGGGAGAGAGAGAGAGAGGGAGAGGCAGAGAGAAGAAGAAAAAGAGAAAAAAGGAAGAAGGGAAACAGTCATGATTTCAATGAGCAACAAATCCACTTCCCGGACCCGATCACAAGAGAGTACACTGGATCCGACTGCGATGTCGAGTCCGGTCAGGTCGGAAAGTCTTGGGGTATTCGGGGCCTGCGTCGCGATCGCGGTGGCCTGATCCAAAGCCTGTCGGACGACGGTCTGCGCCACGGCCACCTGCCGCCTGTTGTCGCTGCTGGCGTAGCATACGAACAACGTCGTAGAAGGCCTTCTCCACGTTGATACAGTTTTTCGCAGAGGCTTCAACAAATTCACATCCCAGCTCCTTAGCCAACGCTTGGCCTTCCTGTGCTGAGACTGCGCGCTCTACGGCCTTGTCGCTCTTATTGCCGACTAGCATGACGGGGACGGGCATTCCGGGACCCGAGGATGCGCTCATGGGTGAGTTCAAGTAGCTGGGACCAGAAGGCGAACCGGAGCTTGACGATTCCTTGACCATCTTAATTTGGTTGTAGAATTTTGTGATGCGAGAGAAGGAGGCGCGTGATGTGATGCTGTACACCAATACGAAACCCTCACCGTCCCGGATCCACTGATCTCGTAACGCGGTATATTCTTCCTGACCCGCTGTGTCCAGCACCTCGAGCATACACGACTGTTGATCGATCACGACTTGTTTGCGATATGAATCCTCGATGGTTGGATCATATGTTTCGACAAAATGATTCAGGCATAACTAGAAGTATTATTAGGATTGGGGGGGGACGGTTTTTTTTTCGTAGTGTTGAGGATCAACCAACCTGAATGGTCAGGGCGGTTTTGCCAACACCTCCATCTCCTAACACCACCAGCTTGTACAAGGTCATTTTTCCCGCCATGATGAAGGAGAAACAGAAATCAACTTCAAGAAATTAGCATGATTCTAGTATGGCTTGCAAGAGACATACCTATTATATTTCAGGGGAGAAGGAAAGAGGGGCGTAAGGAGGGGAAAAGAAGCCCACGTTCCAGGTGGGGAAAAAAGAAAATTGGAAAACACACGAATTCAGCCCAATTGAACGCAGAAGAAAAGAAAGGGGAGAGAAAGAAAGAGAGGGAGAGAGAGAGAGAGAGAGAAAAGAAGAAAAAGCTAGGGGGATTGTGCGAAGTCTGGGGGGGCTGGAACGAAGTGGAGAGGCTTCACAGAGAAAATTATTTTATATAGAAGTATAGGTAGAAGAGAGAGAGAGAGAGAGGGACGAGGTAGAGAGAAGAGAGAAGAAAGACCTTTTCCCCTACAAATCCGAGACGGTTTCGGGTATAATCAAAAGCTAAAGCTCTGGACCTTTTGGAAGTGACAGCTCCATGAAGTCATACATTCTCTCTCTTTTTTTTTTCTACTTTTTTTTTCGCTTATAGATTCTGATAGGTTTGACTCATTTCTTTTTCACTCAAATATTTTAAATTCTCTTAAAAGTCCAGAATCTCAAATATATATAATAAAAAAAAAAAAATGAAAACTCCAAAAAGCTCCACTGTAAAAAGGAGAAAGCGCACAGGGCACAGTGGATAATCCCGGATACGCTTGAAGCTCATTTCCTTAAAGCTCTTTTTAATTAGAAATTTGATTAACCTGTTTATATATTTCATTTCGCAATTGATAAAGCAATATAATACCCCAGTTCACACGTGGAAGACATGGTTTCACGCCCTATCAGCCTCTGGAGTATATATACCCTAATCTACGGAGTATATATATTCCTATAGAATATTATATGTGGAATTGTTCCCCTCAAGTCTGATGGAATGGGATTTCCGAAATAAGTGTCGGCACACAAGAAATCACCCTGGAAATCAGGAGTGACTACGTACTATTTCCGATCGTAATACCCTACTGATAGTGGAGCAGTGAAGAGGGTACTCCACGGCCCTGGGAGACGCTACCCAAATAGCGCAGGTCGAATGTGATCCAAGTCACCTACAAACGGAGTACGGAGTACGGAGTAGATTATTTGGCATTCCGGAACGACAACGGTTCACCTGGAAATAATTTAGGATTGGTTTAGAGTGGCTATCGCCATAGCCCTCATACCCCCCACTGGCATTTTCCTCCTCTGAGCTTCCATACCTAATACCTAGCTAGGCAATAGGTCTATGTTCATTTAGTCTCTTTATAATCATTGATAAATGTTAGAAGCCTTGGGTTCAAATACCCAATGGCGCGTACATCAAGCCCCCATTGACACATAGATCGTCCAAGGGTGTGTTAGCTACAAAGGTGGACAACGGAAGGAAGTTCGGAAGGTGGGTTCTTACTCTAGCTCTTTTTTTTTCCCTTTTCATTGGACCTGGTCCCTTTTTCCCTCCTAGACTCAGTTTCCAAAGTAGGTAACTGGTTGGGCATCAAACCCAATAGGGTCCGGGGTGTCTCCGTTTCCCGTCCCAGTTCTGTGGCCGCGGGCCAGGGGGTGATATCGGGGAAATGTTTTTTTTTTGGGCTGTCCACTTTTGTTGAAATGGCCCGGGCCCCGGCGGATCCCTTTTTGTTTTCCTTTTTTTTTTCTTTGATCAAACTTGGTCAATTTTCGAGATGTCAAGCTACACTGATGCATGTTCGAGTATATTTATGTCCCCCCACCATTAGCATATTCAACTCTATAAACATTTCAACTGAATAGTTAGGGCACGTCCCAGAAAGGTTTCTTCCCCCTGTTCACACGGAATGGCCCGGCCCCAACGGCTCAATCGCTAGGAATACTAAAGGGGGAGTTCTGCCCGGACCAATAGTGGGTGAGCATTTGATTGTACCAGGCGTTGGTTGGCCGACGGCTCCTCCCGCTTGGCCGTTATATGGAGAATGCATTCATACCATTCCACCGTCATGGTCTTGCCCTGATCTAAAGTTTCAAGTCCTGTTCATATCGGCTACGGAGTACCAGTGGCGGGACTCAATATGCACCTGCCTGATACTGACGTGCATAATGCAACGGCTCTTGTTCATGCCCCGTGAATCCGTGAAACCATCCGTTTGGGGATGCATTCATCCTGCATAAGGCTCCTTGGGATCGGCAGGGCAGTTCCCAGGAGATTGGCCCTTGGGAAACCTAGGAAAACCTAACAAATTGTTGGAAACGGGATGTAATTTTTCAAAATTATTCATAGTACAACCTTGGCTTGCGGGATCTCCATTATTGATCCGTTGGATACCGCTTAGTCCAGGTTTGTCCCTCGGATTTCTCATAAGGATCACATGTGTTTGTTGTATACGGTGCTCCCGATACATCCCTGTATGTAGAAGGCAGATGTCGATCTCAAAGCCCCCGAGATCTCCCCGATGGTATGCTTCTGCGTGGAAATAATGGGATCCGTTACGCTATTGAATCAACGCTGGGACTAGTGCAATGTGTGGGCGTGTCAAAGCTCAATGTGTAGTAGATATACGATTATTTGTGGAGAAAGGGGGAGAATGCCATGTGGCCAAAATGCTTAAGCTGCATGATCTAGCATTATTGCAACGTTATTGCCCTAGTTTTTAGACACTAGAGCTTCAATAGTACTAGTAATTTTTTGGGGGAATTGTACAGAATAAGTTCATATTATTTACATCTAGGCTACCATTCTACCCCGTATGCTTTATGAGATCTACAGAAATTGATACGATATGAGACAGAACGGGCTTCGGGCAAGATAATCTATCTGGAACACGGCTGGTAATTAGCCTAATGGGACTATCTTCCTCCGGAACAAGGGTCTGGCTGTTTACCTTGTTTACCTTGTTTACCTTGTTTACCTTGAAAGTTCATATTAAGCTCTGGGAGAGTGAGCTTCGAGCAGTGTCATGAGATCCGATATATATCCCATTCTGAGATTGTAACATCCAAAGCTCTACCTTTATGGTTCTTTCAACTAAGTTCTTTAGACGATGATAGGATATGGCAGTAATGTCTATCTTATGCTCATTAAATACTTAAGGAAAAGCTGCACATCTAGAGACGCTGTCCGTGTAAGGATGACGCTGTAACGAAGACCACTAGAAGACTTCCAAGGTTGCCATGCCAGTGCCACCTAAGACGAACATAGATATTGTTGAGTTTGTACATATGTACCGTATTAAATATGTGCTATAAACAAGTTTTGACAACCGAACCAATATGCATCCTCACGATTCAGCAGGCATCAGCCTCGCTGGATATCATTCAAATAAGCCGTCACCCTCTCCACCAAAATCCGCCGTGGCTCCGCTTGGTCGCTATCACTCAACGCGTGCGATGCATTAGGGATAACCATACTCTTTGGATCCCAAATCTGCCGTCCACTCCCATCGGCAGCAATCTGCCACCTCTTTAAAAGGGTTTCCTTATTAACCCACGGCGGCACCGACTGATCCCTCCCAGAGTACAGCACCAGCATTTTTTGCTTCAGCAAACCCCTCTCCCGAATCATTCCAAATGTCCCACGGAATTGCTCATCACTCAAATCCGAACTAAACAGATCATCCTCAGATGGATTCTCTGGGCTATCCGGGCTAACCAGACTCAAGAACCGCCGACTGCTAACCGGAGCAGAGGGCGGATACCCGATTCGCGACGTCACAGACAACGGCACAACCGTATCGACAAGATCGTGATCCTCATACATCGCCCGCCGCGCATCAGCAACGGCCTTGTTGTAAATCGCGCGCATCTTGGCCGGGCTATCACGCTCAGTGCCACACTTCACAACCCACAATATGCCCTCACGGTCTGAAACGGGCGCTTGCATGATCGCCCCGTCAACTGGTACTCGCACAATCGGCTTCCAGTGGCGGTCGAAGACAGGGTGTGCCGGCCGTGGGTTGGGACAGTTGATATAGTGCATCACGTCCTGGCTGCCCGTCGAATGGCCCATGATGACCACTTTTCCGGCGCCGAACTGTGGCTCCTTGTATTTGCGGACGTATGAGACACACTGTGATAGCTCGTCGATGTCTTTGCCCAGTCGTCCCATGCCCCATCCCCCGCCGGCGCAGGATAAAATTAGCGAGAATACACTCCATTGGGATGGGTCTAGCGCACGGACTACGTCATTTAAGTAGTCAACCGAGCCAAGACTGTCACCTAGCCCACCGACGAAGACGAGTGTGTGGGGCTTGGGTACATGGCTACGGGTGTATTCGAAGGCGACGAGGGTTTCGGTCTGTGAAGTGGCGTTAGCGGTATGGATGGCATGGCTGCCGGAATGGGTGGTGTACGCAGTGATGTAGCACACCGGGATATCCCTGGGCCAGTGAGGTGAGGAGCTTGATTTGCATTATGAGATGTCGTGTTGCTGCTGGTGCTGGTGCCCAGGTGCGGATTGGTTTGACAATTTGCGTCAGATCAGATAAGACCATCAGATAAGGCACTTCGACGGGCTTTACTCCGATACCGGCTTCACGAAGAGCGGTATTATGGCAGTTAGGGCTCGGTTATATATTACTAGTGGGTATAATTGGTATTAATTCAACAATTCCCGACATCGGAATTTGACTTCCCTGCATCTCAAGTTGATCATACCTACTATATCACTCTTGCCCAATGCGAAACAGAAAGGAAGAAGGCATCTTATATACCTTTCCACTTGGAGTATTTCATGAGGCAATGGGACGCTATTCACAGCCTGGTCAATTCGGTCTTTCCAAAACACGAGCACCTCTACTCAGTTCTAGTTGGATCTCGAATTGGTGAGATAGCTACTCTCATCCATGGTGACCAATATGCACTGGAGGCTGCTTAGACTCATTTAAACTAGATGATGGAAACTGATAGGTGGTTTAGCTCGCGACAACTATCGCTGACGCCGCACGGTTTATCGACCAACTCTTTGGGGGACGCTCGGTACAATCGTTGGTTCCAACGGAACCATTCTGAGCGGCGACCAGCGGCAGCTGACTGTGGCCGCAGGAGCCCTAATCAAAGATCCTAGGGTACTAACCCTCAACAAGGCGGCAACTTCCATCGGCCCAGGAGCGAGAAGGAAATTATCTTAGCCGTTGGGCGCTGCTCTGAACGGAAAACCAACTGCACGTCGCGTTTATGCCATCAAGAAAAATCATGATATTATCAAGATGCACGATGAAGGTGTCGGTACCGAACTTCAAACCCCAATGAGCGGCTCCTGTTGATCCTGTTGGGCTGCAAGAATGTCAACACCGACTCGTCAGATAAAAGAATTGAGGATCGCAAAAGTAACATCACTGAAGCGGAGCAACCTAGTGGGGATAGTCAGTTATCGAGCTATCGGCAGGTGATCGCCAGCATGATGTCTCCATCAACATGATAGAAAAGACTTTGGAATTACTGCTCACTCGGTCTACCAAGAAATCCCTCTGGTATCTGAGAACGGGCGATTTTCTTGTTACAGACGACTGTCTGCTTGCTGCACTTGGTGTCCTGATCAGTGCCAGTATCGTCGGCGCTGGCTTCTCAGCCGAGGGGATGGTTTTTGGCAACGCCGTGGGCAGCTTGACTCCATGCGAGATGCCAGACTGTATCCGGCCACGAGATGATTTCTTTGGTTTCATGTGCTTCGATGTGGCCGACATCGAGTCTATCTTCAATATTTTCAGCTGGGTAGGAGTTGTAGGGGTTGGATGGGTGTGCGAATCAATCTAAATATTCGCGAGTTTCTATTCCGCTCGCTGAATAGGACTTGCAGTGGCACCTATCTTAGCCTCATGGTCAAAATACCACAGGTGTATTTGGATATATTGCCAACGATGAAAACCTAATGACAGGCGTCGTTGTGTTTAGAATTCCACTTCGCTCGGTACAATGACAATCACTTATCCGGTCCTCCATTGCTAGGGGATGTAATAGGAAAACCTGGCGGGCGAGGTAATGGGGACATTTGGTAATGCGCGCTCGTATATGTTGTAGTACCTCATTCATTTTAAATAGGCATCGGTCCTACCATCGAGGTTCAAGCTTTGAGCTTGGTTCAACGTTCATGTTTTCTTTGATTCGGCTCATACGGTAGCCATAGTGGCCTGTTCTTGTGTACACTGCAGCCGGGGTGTCAGGGAGACAGATTCTCTAGACTATGAGCTGAGACCCTGAAAAAATGACGGCAAAAGTCAGTGTGCCTCGATTTCTTTCGGTTTGAGTTCACTCACAGGAAATTTGAAGCCCCACATAGAAATCTCTTTGCTTTCTCTAGATGGTATGAGTGTTATTATGAGGTTATCAGCTTGGGTAGATATTTTGGTGTACTCACGATATGCGCTGCCGAAATATGTCTTTTGACCCGTCCCGGGCAAGGGCGCTTGTCTTTCTCCGGATCATCGAGAACTGTGCAATATGGACACCTGAAGGCACAAGCAGGGATACCCTTTGGAAGACCAACAAGAGTTAGTCATGTCTTTGCATATTACCGCTTTGGGTAACTTGATTTGGGGTACTCACAATCACCGCATGGTCAACCGGCCACTGGGTTGAGAAGTGCTGTCGGCATTCACACACTTTTTTGCGTTGGCTGTAGGTTATGCTCGTAAGTAAATATTCATCAAAGGACTTCGGAAAGGTATGCTCACACCCAGTAGTTAGGTTGCACTTTGGGGTCGACTCTCATCCAATATAATCCCCGGAGAGGGCTGCCATCGCCAGCAACAAAAGGATCTGCAGGGAGTTGGTTCTGAGGCTCGGAAGCCATCCTGCCCTGAGACAAGACGTTTCGTTAACATCGGTCTGATGGGCTGTCTGGAGAATTTCAATGTTCGAGGTGCGACAATAAGGTCCCCCCAGCAACGATCGAATTAACCAGGCCGATGGGATGATATACATGCCTGATCTCGTAATTAAGTCTCGATGAGCGATGCAGAGATGATAGCGTGATGATTATGTGTCGAAGATGTGAGAAGACAACAAAACCGAATTTGGCTGAGGATCAAGCAAGCTTGGAAGTAGCTGAGGTCAGACAGCCGCGAGGCAAGAGCCAAACTTGAATTTATTTTCTAACATGACCATAGACAATATCTGGTCCATAATCCATAACATCGAATATCTTTAAAGTGTTTATATTGCTCTGAAGACCAAAAAAGAAAAAGAAATTGCCTGAGGACTGCCGACTCCCCTTAAACAGTAAAGTTAACACTGAGCTTTGCCTCCATCAAGTCCTTAATATATATTGCTTTACCTTGTATATGAATTGTGATGCAGATACTACTTCTGATACTATTTGCGTGACAATTCTGTCACATCGATACTGACTCTGATACCACTACTTGGGGCACGTCTTACTACCACGCAAGCCAGCTAGTCCTGGGGTCCTTCCTATGATTTTGCCCGTTTCTTTTGTGGTGGAGCAGCTAGAAGTCCGTGATGGTCTTCTGCATTCTCAACATCATCCACATATATGGTTTTGGGAGAATGCGAATGCCGGACACATAGCATGTATGCTTGTCAAAAATCATTTATATAAAGGTGAGAGCTCTAAAGTTGTGCTCCCCATAGAAGTTCATGCTCGAGAGTACTAGACGTACTTTGCATAGACATAGACTCCCCTGATTATAATCAGAGGTAGATGATATGAGCTCAAGATACCTGACAAGAGTGGCAACAAGACTAAGGTGGACAGTAAAGCACCTGGTATACACCACCTATTCAAATTCTCTCCGGGGGTAATTGCATCATCTATCAAAGACATCCAACCGAAACAAGATTGGATTGGAATCATTTCACATGTAGTATTCGAGTCCGTATTGCATCTACTTTTCTTCATTTGACAGACTTCATAGAAGAAATTCATGATCTTAATACAAAAGGCAGAAGAAAGAAACAACATCTAATGGAGAGATAATGTTATCATTGAAGCGACCTGAGAGGTACGGTGCATTGGGGTGCATGCAGTTCGATAGGAGATTATGCACTTCACAGCCAATAAAAGACATTCTCTTTTCAATTCTCTCCTTCGGCGGGCTGGAGATGAGCACATAAGATCTTAACCTAAGACACAAAAAGAATATAAGTTGAACACCATTTTAATTCCCTATCTGCCCCTCGCATCTGATCTTTGGCAATGAATACTCATACTCAAGATCTTGAGCAAAATGAAGAGATCATCACACGCGAAAATGAGGCCAGACCTATTCTCAAACGTACCATCGCGGGCAAAGACAACGTCAAAACGCAGGCGGTCATTTCAGAGCTTGTTCAAACAAGACGAGGGCTGAACCAGCGTCACATTCAAATGATAGCCCTGGCTGGAACGATCGGTACTGGCCTCTTCCTGGCGACCGGAAAATCCCTTGCAAGAGGTGGACCACTGAGCATGTTGCTCGCATATTGCATTGTGGGCATGCTTATCTGCTGCGTGGTTTTTTCTGTAGCTGAGCTTAGTGCTCTGGTACCTCTTTCCGGTGGCATCATACGACACGCAGAATGGTTCGTTGACCCTGCGCTGGCTTTTGCGCAAGGTTGGAATAGTGTTTATGCCAATGCAATCCTGCTGCCAGCTGAGATGGTGGCTTGCGCTGTCATTATCGACTTTTGGTCTCATATTAACCATGCCGTATGGATCAGCGCTCTGGGTGCGCTGCTGGTGATTAGCAACATGCTATTGGTCAGTATTTACGGCGAGTTGGAGTTTGTATTTGCGATGTTGAAGATTGCTCTGATTGTTGGTGTGAATATCTTGGTTAGCAACATCTCACGCAAAAAAGTCTCCGGTTGGTTTCTGACTGCCTTTTATCCAGAGCATCTGCATCACATCTGGCGCAGGTCCACAGGGTTATCCCATGGGGTTTCGATTTTGGCGGGACCCTGGACCCTTTGTGCAATTTCTTGGTATCGGTGGCTCACTGGGACGGTTTCTTGGGTTTTGGCGTGTTCTAAGCAGTGCAGCTTATGCATTTTCCAATGTTGAAAACATATCGGTCGCAGCAGCCGAGACGCAGAATCCTCGCCATAACATCCCCAAGGCCGCCAAACGTGTGTTCTGGAGAATCCTGATATTTTACCTGATTACCATTTTTATGATGGGCCTGATTGTCCCCTCCAACGATAAGGGCTTGTTGTCGAATTCCGGGGATGCTGGAGCGTCTCCGTTTGCGATAGCTGCCACTAATGTCGGAATTAAGGTGGTCCCTTCTATCATTAATGCTATCGTTGTCACAAGTGCATGGAGCGCTGGTAACTCTGGCGAGTAGATCTTCTTTTGTCAACCACTGTACTTCTGCTGACCCGAAGATAGCAATGCTCGTTGGAACCAGGACGCTATACGGTCTTGCTCAAGAGGGGCATGCCCCAAAGGTATTCACTCGCATCAATCGCTTCGGGGTCCCCTGGATATCAGTTGCCGCAGTCGGATCTTTTCTTGTCCTGGGGTATATGACGCTGTCATCCGCGGCTTCTCTTGTGTTTGATTGGCTCCAACAACTGGTCTCGGCTGCCTCATTGGTGCATTGGATCAATATAGAGGTGGTCTACTTGAGGTTTTTTTATGGCTGTAAGAAGCAAAAGATCAACCGGACTGAGCTTCCTTGGAAAAGCCCCTTTCAGCCTTACGCAGCATGGGCTGCTCTGGTTTCGTTCAGTATCATCCTAGTGACTGGTGGATTCTACGTTTTTATCGAGGGTAATTGGAGCTCTCAAACCTTTGTATCGTCATACTTCAACATACCTCTTATATGTGTCTTATTTTTTGGGTACAAATTTTGGCGAAAGACCCGGCTCGTTCCATTGGGGGAAATTCCAATTCGTGAGTTCCTTCACATCGCCAATGACCACCCAGAGCCCATCCCATCCCCAGCTACTGGGTGGCGAAGAACAGATATCCTTTGGGCTTAATATTGGGGGATTCAGAATGTGACTATGGGAGAAGGACCGATGATATTTCAAGTTGTTCATTAAGTCTCAACCCATCTTACCTAGGCCTCACTACTGAGTTTAGAGGGCAGACCGTCCTTACTCAATCCCAAATCGCCTAGCCACTTCTCGGAAGCCATCAGACTCAAGATCAATCCACATATCCACCCAGTCCTCAGTCTTGGCTTTTGCAGCCTGTTCCTTTGACCACTCTTCCTCCAGCTCACGCTCCACATAGATAGTCTGAAATCCACAGCTCTTGGCAGCTTCCAAATCTTCTAGATGCGCCGCAACCAGTCCGCATTGGCCTGGTTCCAGTCCAAACATCTTGGCAGCGCCATTATAAACCAGCGGAGAAGGCTTGTAAGCCTTGAAATTTTCCGCACTAACAAGATGCGTGAAAGGCAGTGATCCATGTCGCTGGAGATCCTGTAGTAAAGAGACATTCCCATTTGACAGGGTGGCAGTTGCAAACCGACGGTTCAACAATTCCAAACCTTGGACACTATCTGACCACGGGTTGAGCCGGTGCCAGGCGAAAGAGAGTTCCCACAGCTTCTCGTCAGTGAACAGGCCGTCCAGATCACGCTGTCGCAAGAGTTCTTGAAGGGCATTGTAGTGGTGCTGATCGACCGAGACAAACTCTTTAGATGGATCAAATGTGCTGGTAAAGTTATTGTAGGACTCCCGCCATTCTGCAACAAATTCTAGCCAGTTGTCCCAGGTCATGGCTGCAGCGCGGTCCCGCAAGTCGGCTGGGAGGCCCTGGGGATGGTTCACAATATGCAGGGCAGCTGCGCTCAGCTCTTCCGTAACGCATATACGCCATGACACTACTGTGCCAAATGTATCGAAAAATAACATCTGGGGTGGGTGATCTGTCGACATTGTAGTTTTAGAAGATGCTGATATATTTCTCCACTTTTTCGAAATTATATCTCCGAGATATGAGCAAATTTGAGATGCTAGCTAGACATATAGGTCAGAATGAAATTGAATCTGTTCATATACCAAAAATCACGCAAATCTGCTTAGTCAATGTTCCGAGGCCCCCGATGTTTTTCAGTTCAACATGTGCGTAACATGTGAATCAAGATAGCATTTTGAGATCTCAATGGGGTTTTTTTTTTGGAAGAGCAACGGAGCAGTCTTTTTAAGAACTTTCGAAATAACATACTATGTACTCCGTATGTGTTGTGTGGAAAAGTTTCGAGTCTTGTGCAAGGCTACCCAGGTGTTCAACATTCTGCCTATCGGTTTCCGCCTTTCCAACTTTCTCAACCTCCGTTATATTGATTCGGCCCTTCCCTCTACTCCGTAACTTCAACCCGTGCATTACTTGCGCCTCCGAGACAAGAAACAAAGGAATCTGAGCAGGGATATGCAACGAATGTCCAGCCACCAAGTCAAAAGTACGGAGTACTGTTCTATCCCCTGAGGTGGGGCAAATGGCTGGCAATGGTTCGCCGAGATTCTCGCCCCCCCGTTGTTAGTCCGATTTTCCGGCAATTTAGGGAAAGTCTAGACGTGGACTCCAGATACGAGAAAGCGTTTATTGCCAATCATTGTGCTACACCTCGAAACGTTTGTGTGGCACTTGCAAACGTGAGAATTCTATTCAGAGAGCCAAGGGCCTTTTACAAGTACGGAGTACGGAGGCTCCGTGCTCTACCGGACTTTAAACAACATGTTTATCTGTGGATTCGAAGCTCTTTCGGTGGGGACCTTGAATGGGGTCTGGTTTTACCCATTTTTTACCCCTGATCCGCAATGTCCGATGATTTGACTTGACTTATTTGTCGCTTTCAGCGTCACAAAAAAGAGGCGTCAAACATACAGCGTACAATATGCAACATACTTTGTATGCACCGGATTCTGAAACCCAACCTCAGCGAGATTATCCACGGCGATCGTCACCCAAACAAGCTACGAGTTGGCTATTTAATTATATTCTCAAACACGCTAACAATCGCTATTTTAGTGTCGGAATCGACACTATTGGTCATCGCAGAAGGCTTTTTCTTTTTTATTATTTGCCTTGCACTTCCCAAAGAATAGGGGTGATTTTTCCAGCCCTTGAGCTTCAGAGGCGTGGGTCTTATGAACTACTACAATGATTACGGAGTATACGAGATATTGATTGGACACATCTTTTTTTTCCAGCTTTTCTACTCTCTCCAATTTACCTTTCTTTGTTTCTTTGTTCCGGAATAATCAGCTTCTAGTTCTTTGAGATATACAATCAGGATATCTCTCAAACGCGATTCTATACTGGAGCTATGTCTTAGCGCCTTTGCCAGCTGCAGTGGAGTATTATTCCTCTGGCTAATCGGGTGGATTTCTTTTCTTTCCCCATGTCCTTTTCCCCTAACGAACGCCCCTGGGACTTTTTTTCTTTTTTCCTTTTTTCTTTTCTTCTTTTCTTTTTTCCTTTTTTCGTGTCGCCAATTCTCCTCGCGTCCAGTGTTTCCGATATGCCGCAAGGCTGATCTGAGCCAGGTCTTTTCATATAGGTCTAAGCTCCTCGATCATTGTAAACTGGATCTTGAGTCTCTAATCGTGATCGGCCCTTCGGACTGATCGATTTTCCCTCCCGGATCGGCTATACCTCCCGGACATCTTGTCTCTTAAGCAACGATCATTTTGTTACCGTACTCCGTAAGTCGAGTTAGGGTCTCACCCCGTGCATATCCAAATATTGGCCCCTCTCAGTGCACACATCTTTGTAACTGTGGCTGACCTACCCGTCCCCAAGTTTCACAAGGTCTTCGAATACCCCATTGCCCCGTTCGATCAGTCGATTGCAGGTGAAACCTGTATCCGGAGATCAGCACTTCGGACAGTCAATAGTCGGATGGTAGAACTACGGTAATCTTTTGATGGGATCCAGTGCGTGACGTGCTCTGGATAGCCCAACGAGCTAAGCCCCGGTGATGGTTTGATGATCTGAGGCTTTCCATCTGGCACATGCGCAAAGAGACATGGCCGACTTACAATCTCCGACCCCCGTGGCCCACTCGTCTCCGGCACCCTCCTTCAGATCGAGATGCCGAGCTCCATCCAATGGAAGATCAAGATCGAGGCCGTCCTTGCGCGGGCGAGATTCCTCCCCACCATCTTCCCCTCCACCTAGCCTCCCAACACCCGCATTCTCCCCCGATGTACAAACAGACGAAGATGATATCATTGAGGATACCTTATCACCTTTCGACCCGCGCAGAATTACGCCTACTCTCCATGCGTCTCTCGTTTCGGAGATACTCTCGCTGCGGCGGGAGATAGAGAACAAAACCAAGTCAATCGATGTGCTGGAAGACAGCTTGGCTGAATCAAGGACGGAAAATGAAACATTGACTGCGAATCTCTCTCAAGCAACCTGGGAAGGGCGCTCGTTGAAACACCAAATCCAACTACTGGAAGGTGGGACGTCATCGGCGATGACCGAGCTAGCACGGGAGCGCGATGAAGCGGTCGAGAACATCGGTGATGTTCGTAAAAAGCTCGAGCAAGCACAGAAGAAAGCTCGAAGTCGGGAAGAGGACCTCGAACGAACCCAATCACTCTGGAATCGCGACCAAGAATCCTGGGCGGATGAACGCCGAGCCCTGGAACGCAAGGTCCACGTAGTGGAGGGCCGCTTGAAGACTGTTCTGAACGAGGTGGCAGCCGCCCAGGAAGTGGCTAATATTCACTCGTCACAGCCAAGTGAGCATAGTGATGCTCATGGCAAGAATAAAGAAAGCGACTCTGCCAGTGTGGGATCTAGTAGCCTAGGCCGCCGACGCGTGAGCGTAACCAGCGTGAGCTCGGAAGAGGGTGAAGAGCCGGTCATATTCCATAGCATGCGGTATTCGGTTATGAGCGTTGCGCCTGGTGTCAAGAATGGTCCAGGTTTAAACCTGGCGGAAGAACTCGATTTCGATGAAGAGGACGAGTTTGCTCCATCTGACGATGAACTTCCGATATCTCCGGAAGCGCTCCCCGAAGAACGTCCAATGTCGGTTCACTCACAGGGGTCGCATAGTATATCTTCCAAGGCTAGGAAGATCCTAGGCCTGTCCCTTCAGAGCTCGGACTCATACTCGCCCACTGCCATGGAGTTCCGTGCCCGGGAACTCGGATTTGCTAGTTCAGTGAAACTTGACTCTGTGGTCGATTTCCGCGATATCGGCATCCAATACTCACCTCCTCCATCGCCTACAATAGAAGTGAAGGTTGTAGACATTGTCCCCGTGTCCACGAGGATAATTTCAGAGCCCAAGAAAGAAGACGACAAAAACGGAAACATACCTAGGACGAAGAACAGCGCCACGCTCCCTGTTGCACCTCTGATGGTTTCTACTTCTTGCCAAACAGTGGAGGAACTCCCAAGTCCTTCATGGAAACCAAATGTGGCTGAGCCGCCTCAGCCTGTTGAATGCACCCCACAGCCGGCACAAATGACATCGACATCCACCCAGACTGATGTCATTCCAGAGACAGATGTTCAAAATGAGGATTGCATCACCTCTTCGCTGAATAATGTCCCAATCAAGATGGACATCCCCATGATTGCTATCCATCCACCAGGCTCAGAGCCAACCTCACCTCGGAATAGCGTCGTTCTTCCACCGCAAACCAAGAATATCGCTTGTCAGACTAACTTCCGGACGATCGTTGATTGTCGATCCGTCGCCATCCAAACCGAGGAGATTCGTATTGATCAACGCCCTGTCAAACTACCTGCCAGTCTTCTTCCTTCGGCTATTCAAGATGCCCTACCGCGCCTTGGGCCTCAAGAGCCTACCCTCGAGTCTTACACTGTGCCTCCACTTCCTCCACGGTCCGAAAAGCGCCAGAGACGTCTGATAACAGATCACCCAACAGATCGTCCCGTGAAGCCTCCAAGAGCACCCGGCCCGGATCATGTGCAAGCCTACCCCGGTAACAACGATAATGGTCCGCTCTCAGACGATGCTTTGTCCAATATTCGACGACCTCTGCGGTCTAGCAGTCTCTTCGCCGGCTTTGAACATAACAGCGACGATGAAGGCCCCCATAGCGAACGTGATGTCTTCACCGACGATGAGCTCCTCAACCGCCCATTTGCTGCATACACTGTCAGCCGTGGCAAGCTTATCACTACGAGCTCAAGACCCAGTCTGGACGACGTGGCTCTTCCCGAAGTTGCCGAGCAGCTTTCCTCCCCCGAGTCAAGACCACCCGACATTGGCCGTTCTCGGGCCTTCCAACGTTCTGGCACGGCCTCGAGTATTCGCCAGCCCGGCATGCGCAAACTGGCCATGATTTCCAGCGGAACCGCTGCACATCAGAAGCCCCGTGCCCGCAGTCCCAGCGAACCAAGCCTCGAGAGCGGCAGTGCAGGCTCAAGTATTGCACCTCCATTCCCCGTGCCCATACGTCTCAGCTCGCGCAAACTTCCGCTTAACAGCAGCGATGGACCTCCGAGTCCTACTCGCTCAGCCGGTAGACAGTTCTCAGACCGCGGTCGGCAATCCGTCGTCCGGCGCCCAACCCTCCGCCGAGTGCGATCTGCTGCAGCAACATCACAATCGGAACTTACCGAGGGGCCAGAAACTCGTTCTTCCCCATCACGATCAATCTCGACCTTTTCCCCAGAAAGCCCTACATACCGACCGTACCGGCCACCGCCGATGCCTTCTGATGAGATCACAGCACCTCGTGAGCGGTACGGGACCCCGAAACGCGCCTCGCATCGTGCAACTCCGTCTCAAACTTGGAACCATGAACAGCGTGAAAGAAAGGATTCTACCGGCGGCGTGCAGCCGACTAGTGTCGTTGATGCTATTGCTCAGACGATGGTTGGCGAATGGATGTATAAGTACGTCCGTCGACGCAAGTCATTCGGGATGGGCGAGTCCAAGGAGATTTGGGAGGGCAAGAACCCCGATGATGTATCGGCCAATATCACTAACAGTGGTGTGCGACATAAGCGATGGGTTTGGCTTGCCCCTTACGAAGGCTCCATTATGTGGAGTAGTAAGCAACCTACCAGTGGGCCTGCATTGCTCGGCAAGAGCGGCCGGAAGTGTAAGTCTTCAAGAAACTCATTGGACTTTTGAGTGGCAGCTAACGTAGAATTTCTCCTTCGTGATAGTCACCATTCAATCCGTTCTGGACGTCAAAGATGACAACCCCTTACCCAAAGGCGCCGGCCCTTCGACCCCATTCAATCGCTCTATCCTGGTGCTGACACCACAGCGTGCTCTGAAATTCACAGCGCTAACCGTCGAACGCCACTACGTCTGGCTCACGGCCCTCTCCTTCCTCAGCCATTCCTCAATGGGCCTCCAAGAACTCGCAGCCCTACCTCCAGTTCCCCAAGAAGAATCCCCAGCCCCTCACGCCTTCCACCGTCGAAACCCAATCCGCGACTCCATTCGCGTCGCAAAAGGTCGTCCTCGCCCAATGCCAAAGGGGAAGCGCTCCTTCAACAGCACCGGAGCTCCAGCCCCAGTCCCAGAAATACCCAACGGCAGCATTGATCTAGCAGCCGACGCACCACATGTGCCCCGTTTCTCAACCCACACCCGCAAGCGCAGCAACACTGCACCTCGCCCGCCAGCCCTTCACACTCTCCGCAGCTTCTCCAGCGCTGGCACAATGCCTTCTTCGCACAGCGGCACCACGGCCGGTTCCTCAGAGCACCACTTTCCCGCCATGCAGCCTCCAGCCCCACTCCCAGGCATTGGAAGCCGCCGCAGCAGTATCAGTCGACGCACTTCCGAGGCAAGTGGCCGTGCTCCCAGTGTGGGCAGTAACATGTTCGATATAGGCACTGTGCGTATGGAGGCTTTCATCGATCACCACGCAGAACAAATCAATCGTCCCCGTGCGCCTCCGCGCCAGCACCATACCCGCAAGACTTCCAGTCAGTGGAGTGAGAGGCGTTATGAGTTTGACACGCCTTCAGTTCAGGGTAGCGAGTTCTCATATCGTCCTGAGGATCTGTGGCGGGGATTTTAATATTAGAGTGGATGTGTTTCTCTCACCATCTCTCTACCCTTCGTCTTTTTTTTCTTCTCTCTTCTTTCCTCCTCATTGCTTTCCATATACCTATTCTTCCTTCCTTTTCTTTGAACAACATACCTTTTTGGCGCAGTTCCATCCCCACCTCTCGCCATGATTTGTTTACATACATCGTCACTTGACATATTCGCCTACTATATTCTGTAACTGTCACCTATTCGTTTATTCCCTGCTTGATTTACCTCACACATCTACCTATCATTTGCCATTCATCGATTTGATACCACTTTGATTTGGATACCATTTCTCGTGCAGCGGGAGACGGGGAGAAGGGCGTTTACTCTTGTTTTCTTTGTTTATTTTTTTTTTTTTTTCAACATTTCAACTATCAGCCAGTGGATCCTGGATGTATGTATTGAGTCTTTGAGTTTCTATGTCTGAACATAATGTATAAATTTATGCCAGGAGCAACAATGAAGCTTTCTGTAGTATCAACCTCCGCCCTATATGATATTATTCTCGGATGTATATTGTATTCATGCTCTCGTAGTAAGATGGGCTTCACAACGCAAAAGAATCAAACTCGAATCGCGGGTATACGTTCGCTAGCGGAGTAAATACAACATGGTGATATCTTTGTGACATGACGTTGACCGAGGGCTTTCCCGCAGTGGGCTGATTCCCCTAAACCAAAACACTCAAATCTTTCATCTTCATTTTCCAATAAGATTATTCACAGCTTTGCGGCATCCTTGACTTCACCAATCTTCAGCTTGGGCGAATACTTCTTCAGCACGGATTCGTTGTGATACTAAGCAACGTTAGTTGGTTTGTTTTCAATGGCCGACTCGGCAATCGGCCGAGTCGATTACCGATAGATAACATGGCATCTTTTTCAAAAAAAAAAAAAAAAAGAGAGAAAATATATACCTTCCAGAACTGCTTCGAGGCATCCTTGCCCGCTACACGCTTAAGGATCTTTGCACCGCCAGGATGTTCGTCGGCAAACTTGGTTACATCGAAGACATTGTTGTCAATGATGATATAGAGGCCCTCTTCGGCAGTTTTGTGGGAGGCCACTTCAGCGGGGGTGAATTTCTGAGACATTTTCGTCAGGTAGATGAGAAGTGAAGGAAAGTAAGAGATGGAAAGGGGAAATAAGTAGTTCAGTTAGGTGTACGGAGCACAGAGTATCAAAATGCCAGAAGTCTGGGGGAAAGCGGAGAGAACCGAGGTTCGGCGGATTTGCCGCGGTTTGAATTGCCCGGGCGGTGATTGGCTGTAGGAGTTGATGCCTGAAGTGTATTTTATACATGACTAAGCTATCGGCATAACATATCTGACGCTTCATATCTTTCTATTCCCGGCTCTTCTCCCCAGTCGCACCCTGCCCCTTCGACACCTTGCGATCCAACCCCAGAGTCTCCAAGTCCTTCTTCTTATAGTAATGCGGCGCAACCTCAACCAGCCATTCCGGCTGCAGCGGCATATTACTGCGCATGTACTCCTTGCTGGTAAGTACCAACTCAAAGTAGATGACCCAGCGAGGGTTAACCTCCATCAGTGTACTAGAAGGATGCAAGTACACCGACTGTCCATTCTTGATAGTGCGGTAACTATCACCGCCGCGCTGGAGTCGCGCCGCATTGGGGAAGAAACCAGCCGTGATGGCCTTCTGAATTGGCTGAATATTCGTAGACCCACACGTACTGACGGCGACCTCAACGCGATCACACAGTTTGGCGAGCTGGTCACGCACATCGCGCGCCCGTGTCAGACTGCGCTGCTGCAGGAAGTTCTCTTTTGCCCAGATTACGCTGAAGTCCGAGTCGACCCATTGGTTCCAGACGTTCAGTAGCGTCAAGTGGTCACCACCGTCTTTGATGGTGAACCGGTTACGCGCACTGTCCGCATGAATCTTCTTGTCCTTAGGTCGGAAGAAGAGTGCGCTGCCTTCGCCGAGCATGGACACGATCGACAGTACTTCTTCAACGCATCCGTATTTATCAGCAGCAAGGATCGCCTTGGCGAGCATGGGGTCCGTCGGGAACTCGGCCATCTGTCGGCCCACCTTGGTCAGCTCGCCTCGGTCGTTGAGCGCCCCGAGCGCATACAGCTGTTCCAAAGCGCGGATTATGGTCTCCGCCGGCGGTGGGTCCATAAAGTCGAAATCAAGTAGTTGGTCGATGCCCAGCGACTTGAGCATCAGGATCACTCCATTCAAGTTGGTACGTTGAATCTCCGGGGTGGTATTTTCTTCCAGCTCGTTATAGTACGCCCACTTGGTATACAGGCGGAAACACTTGCCCGGCCCAACACGTCCGGCACGTCCGGCTCGTTGGTTCGCCGAGGCACGCGAACACGGCGTCACGACCAAGCTCTCCATCCCGCTTCGTGGATTGAACACGTTCTCTTTGACGAATCCAGGGTCAATCACGTAGACAATACCATCGATGGTCAAACTAGTTTCGGCAATGTTGGTGGCAAGCACCACTTTTCGTGCATTAGGGGGAGTAGGCTCGAAAATCTTTGTTTGCAGTTCGGACGGGAGGTTGGCGTAGATAGGAGCAATAATCATCTCTGGAATCTTACTCCCAAGTTTGCGAGCCGTTTCCTGTAAACTTTGTTCGGCAGCCTCAATTTCTTCTTGTCCAGTTAAGAAGACCAAGATATCTCCAGGGCCTTGAGTGACGTGAATCTGGAAGACGGTTGTGATAGCTGCTGCGAGGTAGTTGGCTTCAGGTTGCGAGGTGTAGTGCACGTCGACGGGGTAGCGGCGACCAGGAATATTGAAAATGGGCGCATCGTCGAAATACTTCTGAAACTTCTGTGCGTCCATCGTCGCCGAGGAAATGAGCAGCTTCAAATCCGGTCGTGCCTTGGCAATATCCTTAAGCAGACCACAGGCAATATCTGTCGGCACAGTTCGTTCATGCGCCTCGTCAATCATCAAGGCCGAATACTGGCTCAGGTCCGGCTCTGTCAGCAGCTCTCGCAGCAACATTCCATCGGTCATATACTTGAGGATTGTCTTGTCGCTAGTGTTGTCCTCAAATCGGATGGCGTAACCAACTTCATTTCCGATCTTCGTGCCCATTTCGTCCGCTACACGAGCAGCAACACTCATAGCGGCCACTCGTCGCGGCTGCGTGCAACCAATCTTGAGGCCACCCTTGGTATAACCAGCCTCGTGAAGGTACTGCGGGATCTGTGTCGTTTTTCCGGAACCAGTTTCACCAACAATAATCAAAACTTGATGCTCTGCCACAGCCTCAATGATCTGATCACGGAATTGATAGATGGGCAGACTCTTCCGGGTTTCGTCCATCGAAAGGGCTTTCTTCTCCGCTGCATCAACCTGCTCTTTGAACCGCAGCTGTTCTTTCGTCATCGGCTTTTGCGTGCCCTCGAGCTTGGCGTCCATAACAAAGTTAATCTGCTGCGAATCATCAAAGACATACTCGTAGTCTCCCTCATCCACAAACTCGGCCTTTTTAATCTGTGCCTTGGCCTTGGCCGCCTGCTCTAGCTCCCACTCCTCGTGCTCTGTGACGAATCGCTCCTGGCCTAGCTCATCCCGCTCGACGTATCGCTTGTACAGGGCTTCTTCCTTCTTCTTTCGGTCGATCTTCCCCTTCTCCGTAATATAATCAGATGGCATCTGATAGCCATCACGGTGGTCATCGATCCGAAGCCGTTCCTCGGCGAGACGAAGAACCTCTCGGTTGCGTGCAAACTCCTCCTTCTCCTTGCGAGACAGATTCGGGTTTTCACGCAATTCTGCGGCCTCCTCTGCAACCTGTCGTCGCAGCAGTGCTAACCGTTCTGTCTCGCGCTTCTTCAAGTACTCTTGTCGAGACCTTTCTCGCAGGTCGGGCATCATCGAAGCCCGCGCGCTGGCATCATCGCCCAGCGCACGTCGCCGTGCAGCCTCGCCGTCGCGTGTCCGATCCTCGACAACCTTCTTCGACTTGGTACTTTCCTTATTAGCCAGTCGTTTGGCAAACTCGTCTCGCTCGCGAAGATCTCGTTGGCGATCGATCTCTTGCTTGGTCCTAGGGTCGATATCGATATCGTGGGCCGGTGAGACGGGATTGGGAGAAGCGGAACCATCGTCGAGCCTCGTGCGCTTGGAGGGTGATTCTTCGAACTCTTCCGGATACATCTCATCTTCGGGAATCTCTTCGTCGCCCCATCGATCGTCGAAGTCCTGCGGGCTCTTCTTGCGGAACTTCCTCATCCGCAGCCGGTCGCGGCTGTCTGCATCGTGGCTTCGGTCTCGCTTTCTGCTGTCGTCCTTGTCCCCGCGACTCCGAAGCTCAGGGTCTCGCTTGCTGCTACTCCTGTCCTTGTCGCTATCTCTGTCCCGTCTCTTCCGTCGTTCTCGGTCGGCCTCGACGTTGGTGGGCCCTAATGATGGGGCGGGTTCTGGCTGGTCTTCGCCCATGTCTACTAGGCGGTATCTCTTTTTCGTGGAGTCCGTACTCGTCGCGTGTTTGGGGGCAGATGCGCTGGGCTGTGCGCCCTTGCCCATGCGTGCATGGAGCTCGCGAGCAAAGGCGCCAATCTGGGTTGAGCTAGCATCTGTGCCGTCCAGGAATGATGCAAGGGTGTCTTGGAGGGAGGACGTCGACTTGGCCGAGCTGGCGGTCGCAAGCACAAAATCGATGACTGTGGGTTCTGACGCGCCCGTGAGACGGATGAGACTGTCCGACACAAAATCCTTAATGTCCATGGTGCGTGGTATGGACTATTATGGGAGAGATTAGAAGGTTCGGGAGCTTTGTGGAGAGGTGAAGTGTGATTAAACTGTGGTTATTGTCCAGGTCTTAATGGTCTCATGTAGGAGTAAATGTTTAATAAAGCAAATGTTAAGGAAAAGGGACTTGCATCGCGCAGAAGTTGAAGGTTGGAAGTTGAAGTTTGCGCCAAGAAATCCCGTGGCCATTCTGAACTATATATATTTTAGACTCTCAACCTCTTGCAACAAAATATCT